CATACCAGACACAAAGTTTACACACATAATCATAGGCCAGTCAGCCTCGTATTAATCTTCAGCCCGTCGGCCTCTTGAGACCAGGATTTGAACCTGTGATCTCAAGTCCCGAGAGCAACACCAATACCACTTTGCCAACAACGGGACAGAGAAACTTTTTGTTTTAGTCATATTTATAGACATCGTTATATTCAAACTGTGTATGTAGAAAAGGTCACCTGAGACATCAGTGTCGCTCTAACCTCATCCTCTTGGAGGGCCATGTGTGAGGTTGCTAGCTGTGGCAAGATTGGGAATTGAACCATCGATCTCCAATGCCAAGGGTAACACCAATACCACTAATTGCAAACCTTAGTAATTGCAAACAAAGGCTACTGTACCAAATAGTAACATTGATTTTCTCAGGTGTTCAAATACGTATTTGCAGCTGTATCATACAAATAAATTGTTTTAAAAAGATTATACATTGTTATTATGTCTATCACAGTGGACATGCACCTACGATGACAATTTCAGACCCCTCCTTGATTTATAAGTGGCAGAACTTGCAAAATAGTAGGGTGTTGAGATACATACTTTCATCAGTATGTGTGTGTGTATATATATATATATATATATCAGCTGAGGAAAGGCTGGCAGACTTCAATGATGTAACTGTTTCTGCCGTATTTCCAAAGGTGTTGAATGCAGTAAGATGTGTCACTTCGGTCGTTTACCACATAAGTCTCAATGACTAATTTACCCCGTATTTCCCTTCACATTTGATCCCATTTCATGGCAGCGATTCTTTTGCTTTTATGACAAAGTTGTCAATGCATCTTCCGCAGAAAATCATTTGATAGACGTTCATCTATTCTCATGCAAAAAACATACGTCCAAGTGTGTCCTCTTCCCACCATAGAGGATCTTTCACGCGCACGCACACGCCCTGCCTGCCTCAGCACCAGCGCATCTCTTCCCTGGCGGGCTCCGTACGCTGCAAGATTACAAGAAACCATGAACGGGACGAGGCCTTCGTGACGCGGACAAACAAGTGCTGGACTTCGTTTCTCCCCCCCCCCCCCCCTCCGCCTCCTCGCCCTTTCGAGCTCCGTTATGTCTTTTAGCTCACCGGCTCTCCCGCCATGCCCGCTGCGATGTGCAACCCGCTGCTGCTCTCTGTGCCCTCGCTGCTCCTGATCTGCTGCCTGCATGGGCCGGTGAGAGCAGCGGAGGAGGGCAGGCCGCCGCCCTCCTCCTCCACGCCGGGAGACAATGGCCTCGACGCCGCCGCTGGAGGCGCGGACACGGGCGGCCCGGAATCGTTCCTCACCCCCCCGGCTCTGGTGGCAGGTAAACAAACACAAAGAGGAGCCCGCAGCTGTTAACGCACAAGGGACATTAGCTGCGAAGGAAGCAGTGGGACAATAATGATCAAATAAAGAAAGAATGATCTTATTTCCCTCTGATAAACAACCAATTGGAAGTTGAACTAGTTTTCCAAGAATTAGCCTATATTAATACACTTTTATATCATGTATATATATAGCTAGCTAGCTAGATATGTTCAGTATAATTGTTTAGGTTAGAAGGAATATGGCTATTGTCTTGGCTGGAGCAGGTTTTTGTTTTAATCCCGTGCTTCGTGGCAGATGTAGTCACCTGTTCTCCCCAGTGTTTACATTCTCATTTAATGACCCAATAAAGGCACTGAGGGCTTAAAATGGAGACCTGCGCATGCCGCCATGGCCCATAATAAGCCAATGGGCACTTTCAGGTCTCCTGTTGCCAGATAAAGCTGCTCCCCTCTCCCGTCGCTGGATTTTGATGCATTTTTTTCCATCCTCCCTCCCGGCGGCTCGGCTGTGCTTGCCTCATCACTTTTTCACGGCCAGACAGAGGTGGCCCGGCTCAGCGGAGACTGAATCAGCTCCTTTTTTTCCCTCCCTGCCTCTCTGCAGAGCCCCGTTTCACCCTGAAGGTGCTCGTGAGGGATCTGGTGACCCGTCAGCCGCTGTCGGGCGCGTCAGTGGACGTTTATGTGAACCACACCTTGAGGAGTTCGGCCCAGACGGGGCAGAGGGGTGAGGTTCTGCTCCGGGTGGACTACAGCCCTGGCCTCGGCCTGACTCTTTTGGGTAAAATGGAGGGCTATGTCCCTACCCCCCTTCCCTGGAGTACCACCAAGAGACCAAGTGAGTGATTGTTGTGTTAAAAATAGCCAACTCAGCCTCTTACTGCTGTGAGACTCATGATTATTACAAATTAATGACATGTCTGAGGCGGCAGACAACTTCTGCCTCTGGTTGTGATTTTGCTGCCTCATAGACTTGGTAAGTCTTTGTCCTATACGGAACCTAATGAGGAATGGGATGGGGGTTTACAGTTATCCCCATCTCTGGTAGCTGTGGGGCAACCTAGCTATTGTCCCAGACCCTCCCATGGGGCGACAGGGAAACACACTGCAGGGAGGTGGTGGGATAAATTGAGGAGGGAGCAGGTGGCTCAGCATTATGAGAGCCTCCTCCTCCTCCCTTTGTGCTCCTGATATGACAAGTGAACCCCGACAGGAGCTTTAGGCAATCGTAACGCCATCTGGTGGTGATTTTGGTGGGAATTGTTGGGCTTCTGTAAATAACTTCAGAGTAGGGTCTGACCTGCTCTGTTTGGAAAGCGCTGTGAGATAACTGTTGTTGTGATTTGGCGCTATATAAATAAAATTGAATTGAATTTACACCCCCATTTACTCTTAAATGGGTCAGCATCTTTAAGGGTAACTTCCTCTTTGTCTGGTTTGAAGTTTTCTCTGCCGTGACGCTGCTGCTGCTGCCGCACAGTCAGGGAAACATCTGGCTGTTTGAAGATTCTGTGCTCATTGCTGGGAAGCTGCCTGGTAAGTTCTTTGGTGAGGAGAATCTCAGCTGTTGTATTTCATGTTTGAAAAAATAGGCGATTTGATGGGAACCCGTCTCGTGTTCGCAGATAGCGCCGCCCAGCCAAAGGTCAGGTTCCCTAAAAACCTCCTGCCAATACCTGATAAACGCAACATCTCGTCGGTGGCAGCCTACCTGACGGTGCCGCAGCACCACCTGGCGAAGGACTGCGCTAACTGCACCCCAGGCATCATCAGCAGCAAATCTGGTCAGCGCTCAGTAAAGCAAGACCAAAACTCAAATGAATCAGCTTAGACCTCAACTTTGTCCAGAATAAAAGGGTGGATTTTCATTTCTTCTACATGGTAGTATCAGAATATTCAGAGAAAATGTGACGTAATATTATGAACGTAGGTAAAAGGTCAATTAAATTAAATGACTTATCGTGGCCGTCATCATTTAATAATATATGTTTCCAGACAAAAATGAGAATGACTTTCAAGTTTGAAATTCTCGTGTGGTGGGAAAACATTGCAGGGCAAAGCTCTCTTCGATCTGCTTCGATAAAATTTGCTTATAAATTGCGCCGAAGTGCACTTGAACTTTACCTTTGCATTTCTGCAGTGTTCAAAAGCATTGAGCTTAAGGCCGTGGCTGCCGTCAGCGTCCTGCTGTACTCTGATGGCGAACAGCTCCAGGTTCGAGGCCCAATCCAGATCAGCCTGCCACTGGGGCGCAACACGTACCTGAGAGCCTCAGATACAGTACCTGCATGGGCCTTCAACATGAAGACAGGTAGATACAAAACCTTCAAACGCTTTTGGAAAAAGTTCCAACAGCTCATTGTGACACACTGTCCTCGATCGTTTCTGAAGGTGCCTGGGAGAACCAAGGACTGGGAATAGTTAAAAGAGTTGGTGATGAGCTGGTTTGGACCTACACAGCTTCCCATCTGGGCTACTGGATTGCTGCCCCTCATCCCTCGTCGAGAGGTATGTCATCTACTTTCGCCATCACAAATTTTTGACTGTTTCTGTGGCACTGACTCAGAGTAACAACATATAACCTTCTAGATTATCTTGGACATGCTAGCTCCATGGATTTCATCTCTTACCACACCTACCTGTTAATGGGAATACTTGGGGGAACTCTGGCCATAGTCGTTGGGATTCTGTCTTTGCTTCTGTGTCACTGCGGGTAAGAAAACTAATTGTTAGCTTACTCAAATAATTTTAGATTGTAACTCATTAAATGTGTTTTTGCTCCAGAGGTTCCTATCGAGAGCCCAGGAGGAGGAGAGCCCGCTTTTCCAAACTCACCGTCGTTAAGAAAGATCAAACCACCTCCACCCACATGGAGGAGGGTTTGCTGTTTCGATCTGGAGAAAACAGCCTTGCCTCCTGCAGTGTCCAGTGTGAGCCGTTGTCAACACCGAGGCATAAAGTCAATTACAACATCTACGTAGAGGATCCGGGAAGTCTTACGTCGGCTCCTCTTTACGAAAACATCACCGGGGATCGTACGAAGGGAGCCCACCTCCCGCCTCATTACATCAACAGCGAAGACGTGGCTCGCATCCGGGAGAAAGCGGAGCAGAACCGTGCCAACATGAACGACAACTTCTTTCAAGATAAGCTGGTTCACATCTACAACCAGCCCGTGGCAATTCTTCAGGCTCAGGAGCTGTTTGGTGCTCAGGAACAGCAGCTGTCCAGCTGCAAGTCCGCCACGTTCCCCCGAAACGGAGTGGAGTACGATGCTCACTCAGAACCTCCAAATAAAGACAATTACACCCAGACACTACCCAAAGTGCCCCACCATCACTCCCAAGGTGGGAGCAGCCCTCCGCAGAGCAGCCAGGATGACCCTCAGCCTCTGGAGACTCCCCCACCAGGACAAGGCCCTAATGCCGGGGTTTGGGGACGCTATAGTAACCTTCTCGAATCCTCAGTCTCTGTGCCAGGGACTCTCAACGAGGCAGCCGGTATGGAGGGCTTCAGTAGTGGGCACGGCGTTCCTGGCGAGCTGCAGGGAATTTCAGAGCGCACCTTGCTGGAGCTGACTCGTGGCAAGTCTTCGTCATCGCACCCTAGGGCCTGGTTCGTCTCCTTAGACGGGAAACCTGCCGCTCAGGTTCGTCACTCCATCATTGAGCTCCAGAGCCGCCACCGTCCGCCAAGTAGCAACGACACCAGTCTCGACTCTGGCGTGGACATGAACGAGCCCCAGCACAACATCCGCGAGACTGATCGCGAGAGGCCGTCCATGAGGGGCTCCTCACTCCAACATCACAGAGGGGGGCGGTACGGCGAGGAGCAGGACCTCAGCAGTAGTGAAAGTGGCACCACAGCCACCTGTACGCCAGAGGACCCGTCCCTGAGGAACATTTTAGATGGGAGCAGTGGGGCTATTCCCAACATTCCTGAGGAGCGAGATGGGGTGGATACATCGAGCGCTCAGGAAGACAGCGAATCGAGAGGCACGCCGCCTCCCCGCCGTTTAAGGAAGGTTCGGGAGAAAGTGAAGGCAGAAAAAAGAAGCACCAAACACATACGGGAAGGCAGACCTCTGACCAAGAGAAGTTAGGCTGTGATTCTTTGAGAAGGACAAGCACTTTTCCATCAGTGCCGAATGTTTCCAAAATAAATTCCACCACTTATACACCTTCGCCAAAGAAAGCATAAGCTGACCCAAGATGTGACGCAGCATCCGCAGTGTGCAAAATTAAATTCTTATGCTGCTGCTGTTTGACAAGTTTGCGCCCCTTGTCCTCTCCTTCCCCCCCCCCCCCCACCCCCATTCTGAAGAGCACCAGCGAGCTTTTTAAAACAGCAAACGTCTGTGTGAACATGATATCCCACAGTTCCCAGCACTGGCATTATAGAAGGTGCCTTCTTACTGCCTGCAATCATAAAAAAATTGTATTCTCAGACACGGTATTTGGTGAATTTGCAGGATGGACACAGTGCACTTACCCCTCACCATAAATGCCTGCTGCAAATCGAATAACATATAGAACGTTTTCCCAGTCCTACTGCCTCAAAACAATCTCGTGTCAACTCTCCACAGGACTCCCACGCTGGACTGGAAGGATTTTCAGAGTAAAACCATGTACAGTGTAAAGCTAAGCTGCCATTTTAAAGTTCACGCCTGATGTTCAAAGTTTTAACCCCACGGTTGTGTTGTATGCATGAGTATGGGCACCAAGTACATTTAGTTGCAGAGTTTAACAGAACAATATAATAGCTTTTCGATTACTTACTGACTGAATTGTTCATTTTGCTGTGAGGAGACAACTGGCACCTGATTGTTTTATTCTTACTTTACACTACATTTATGGCAGGGCTCAGTGTTTCCTTTTAGAAATATCTATTATCATTCAGGGGATCAAATATAAAAACTTTTTTCGTTTTAGTGTTTAAACACAAGCTTTTTCTCTAATTTTGTACATAGCCGCTGCACCTTTCGTCTCATTCTGTTTCAGCTGCTCCTGTTATAGTTCGTCTCTCTTTAAGAAAGCTTCCCAAAAGGCCCATTCTCCTCCACGATTGGTTTAGAACAAAGAAAATTTAAAAAAAGAAAAAAATCATTATTTATTGCTTTCTGAACTTTGGCAGGACTGACTGGTGTGGAATTATCTATTGGGTTGATCTCTGCTGACCTTTTACGAGCACTAAAGTCTTAAGTTAGGTGCCTTTGAGACCTGCTTGTAGCCGTCCCTGTGCCCAAACCTGTTGATAATTGCCTGAAAAGTATACATTTACTTTATAATCAGTAATACTGTTTATTATTGAGAGACAGAAAAATCTATTTTGAAGCAATATTTCAAAGCAAATTGCTGACATGACAACCTTGGTCCTGCAACAACAAAGTTAATTTACATTTTCAACCAACGTTTGTAACCTTGTGCAACCTTTGCTACTTAATGACTGAATTCCTACAAAAGAAAGGCTATTAATGTAAGCCTGAGCTGAATCCGCTGTAGTCTGTGCCAACTTGCTCTATTGAAATGCTGCAAATTGCAAACATCTCTGCTTGGTATGCCAGCTTTGTAATTAGCCTAGCATACTGACCATTTAGCTTTCAGCACAGCTTTCGGAGCTACAACCAAAGCTACCAGTGATTTCATATTCAGAGAAGAAACTATGCCCAAATCTGCTCTTAACGGCTGCGTGGAACCTGACGTGGCAGCCTCCATCCTGCACGAGGTCAATAGCTGCACAGCTACACACGCTGATCACACATTCCAAACTTTTTTCGGTAGGTTTAGTTAACAATATTGAAATTCATAAGTAATTCAAATAATGAATAAAAACAAGAACCAGGATAAGTTTAAAAAAATACTCACCTGGAGCTTTTTAACAGCAATATTCCAAGTAAATCTAATTTGAAAGCCAATTATTTAGTCTTCCATGATACTGTCGTTATATTCTTTCGGTGTTTTCTATGTACATAGTAAAAAGCTAAATTTTAAGTTGGATTTTGAGCGTGGTTTAACCGATTTGTACAGTTTTTCTTAGGTCTGATCTGACGTGTCAGTTAGTTCCATTTTTTGGATGCTTCCAACATGAGATGTTGTTCATGTTAATTCCTTTGGGGGTAGCATAGCGTGTCTTTCCAGGGGACTCCACTAAAATCTTGAGCTTTTAAAAAAAATATTAATTTGAAATGTAGCAACAAACTATCAATTTAATCTCTTTCGTGCGCTCACACAAAGAGAGACTTGATTTTTCTCGGGATCGGCTTGACCAAGCAATGTAGCCCCGCTTTTTCAGCAACATGGGGAGTCAGCTGTGAACACTTTGTGCTGATAATTCTTGACAACCCCACTGCCACTCTGGTTTTCAAGTGATCCTGCTGAATGTACCTACCTGTACTGATTTCTGTGTGATCTGTAGTGTGATCCTCTTGTCTTTAGCTGTCCAACTTCACAGGCCTCTGTCTTTGAATTAGAAGGGACTCCTCGTGTTTACCTTTGTAACGATGGTGGTATTAGTCTTGCTTTTTTTTGTGGACCACATGAATAAACTGACTTGACACAAACAACTATTCATCGGCCTTTTCATTAAAACACATTTAGCTGGTTAGAAATAAAAAGCATATGCATCACTGAGACATGACAGACCAAATAAGTTTCAAGACTAATTTTTGCTCAGTTCTGAGCCCCTGCTGTTACGGCCTCAGTCTTCGTTTTCTGCGGATTGGGTCACGTGGCAGGCGTAGTCACAGCAGCCGCGTGGTCTGCCTCGTGTCTGCTGGAACCGACAAAAAGGCTCACCTCTTTCACTTTTGTCCCTTCAGAACGCCGTATATTGGCTGGCCTCTTGTTAATGAAACCTTTGCAGACACGCTGCCCCCCATGACTAAGAGTCTTTTCCAGCGGTACGCTGTGTGCCGCCTTCGAGGCATGCCCTGTCCCTGTGATGCACAAAACTTTAAGTCTCTCAGCTGTAAACCTTTCAGTCTTGTTTAAAGGTCTTGAAGGATCTGTCTTGACCTCTAAGTTTAGAGCCATTTTTGCAGGGGAGACTTTAGCATCATGTGTGGCCTGCAGCGCCACTCCTGGAACAAACAGGTCCTTCAACTTGTTTTCCACCGGCTCGGCCCAATTATTGGAAAGGTGGGAGGAACTCTTATGAGAGGTCTTGTCACTGCATCTCCAATTCAAGGGACTATGAACAACATATCCATCCAGGGGACAGGAGTTTGATGTCCGCAGGAACCGGTCCACACAGTCCATGTGAAACTGAGGACGGCATTTTAAACACTGAAAATAACTTGCGCAACCACGAGAGCGCAGGCTGAAACATCTTACCTTGTGATGGCAGGGCAGGGTTCGGACCAACTGGCCTAGGCCGAAACTCTGCAGACAGATTCGACACTGCAGCCCCTCATCCAAGAGACGAGATCCCGATCTCACCCTGACTGCAGGCAGCCGCTCCAGCACGTCTTCTGACAGGGTGTCTGCAGCCACCGAGACCATGCTGAGGAGGAGACGAAGGACACTCTGCAGGGTCGTGCGTTAAAATACGACTTTGCGGACTTATAAAATTTTTTTTTTAAAAAACCTTACTCATCACGTTCAGGCAGACACGTCGCTCCGTTTGGTTCACCTCTCAAGTTTTCTTTCAAGATAAGCCACTTATCTTTCCGTCTCTGTTGCATCACCAGATTAGTTTACAGGTGGAACGGATGCAGAATGAACATTTACCGTATTTGAAATGGCTTACCGTTCTTGAAGCCAGCGGGTGCTGTGGGTGGCAACCCCTCTTGCTGCAGTCCTCACACAGATGGAAAAACTTGCAAACTGTGCATCTGGATAACAGATTCCAAAGAATAATAAATTCAGTAAAACTAAATATGGAAACTGAAAGGCAACATAAGGAAATATAGTTTACCCAACACAGTTATTCTTAGTCTCCCTTCAGTGTGAGATACTGCTACATTCATTTAACTTGCAAAGTGGGAAGTTTAAACTCAACCTGGTAGCTTTGAAATTAATATAAAGCCATCAAAGTTTTACCATGTTCTGATGTAAAAAAAGATCACCCTAAATTTAAGCCGAGCGCCACCGGCTTCACTTGGTGTCAATTATAAAATACTCAAAAAGTTCAAATCAAAGTTCTGACATTTCTCAACCATTTACAATTCCATATCATGATGCTGCCATCACTATATTTAGACTGTAGACGTGATCTGAATGAGGTTTCTGCTCCTTGTGAGCTGTAACCAACTCACAACTTCTGAAATTAGAAGACTTTGCCTCTTGTCACCCAAGAGTTGTCCTGGAGCCACAATACTTTTGTAATGTCTCAATGAAAACTTCAGAGCAAAGAGCTTGGAGTACAGCTGAAATGTAGCTGTTTTTGTTGTTGTTTTGTTTTAAGAAAAAAAAATAGTTTGAAACTAAACTTGTTTGAAGAATTAAAAGATAAAAATCAACCTTAAAAAGCAGTGAATTGAATAATGGAATAATTTGCCCACCCTGTACATGAGACCTACTTGAAACACCTGCCGGTGATGTGGCGGACTTGGCAGCCCTGGCAGAACACTCCCAGGTGTCTCTCTGGCTTTTCTCTTTCAGCCGCTGTGAAGAGCCTTGCAGTGTTCTTCACCTGCTCGTCGAGCAGCTTCAAGGAGCTGAAGTCCTCTCTGCACAGAGGACACTTCACCGTGTCCAGCTTGTCGGGGAGTTTCTGGTGGTCCGCCCACACCTTCATGCAGGAGACGTGCACGTTGTTGCCACAGCCAAACCTTAGAAAAGAAAATGAATAATAAAGAATAAACACATTGCGTTCTAGTACAGCAAAACCCTGAAAGAGAGCACCTTTGACTATCTGGAGACTTTGGGCAAATTTTATTGTGTGATGAAGTGCTGGCTTCCTAAAAACAAGCGGTAATGTGGACAGGTCAGTGTGCTGTGGTGGGATAAGTGACGCAGCATGGGGTCATGTTCCGGTCAGCGGAGCAATTAAAGTTTATTTGAAACATGACCGAGCTGAAACAATGATGGTGGGGAAGCTCGACCCCAACACACCTGCAGTAACACACAGGCAGCTTTTTCTGCAGCAGCTCCTCTTGACAGATAGGACACACATCCTGGGCTTGAATGATTTTCCGGCAGACGCTTCCAGCCTCCTGGCCTGAGACCGGGACCAGGGACCCAGAAGCAGTAAAGGGGTCATGATGTGTCCGGCGGGTTTTGCTTTGGTGTAAACCCTGGAACAGCTCCAGGAGCTGTCTCTCCACAAGTCCAAGCTGGAATGAATCTAGAGCAAGGTTATTTTTAACATGTGTCTACAAATGGCAAAATATCAAATGTAAATGCGTTTTTCTAATTTTTTATGAGGTCTGAAACAGCTGGATCGTTTTTTTCTATACCAAGTGTCAAGTTCAGGAACACTTTTTGCCAACTACCACCTTCAAATCTTCTAGTCAACTGGAATTTATCATCATATCTTGAGATGGACCCTGTTTAAGATGGTACAATTTGTAAAAGGAAAAAAAAAATCCAATGAAAGGTTAAAAACAACTTACATTCATGTTCTCTGGGTAACCTGAATTTCCGCAGTAAAACCCTGTAAAATGGGTCATTGGGTTATGGGTTTTGTTCTTTGGATGGTGGACCACATATCATATAGTCTGGCAGATTTTATACATTGGATTCTTTCCATGTTAACCAAACTGAAAGAACCCTGACATCAAGCTACTAAATATTCATAAATGCCTGAAAAAGGAATTGTTGAATTCTTAGTCAGGAAAATTGGTCAAATTTCAGAATTCGTAAATTATATAAGGCTTATAAATGACATTTACAGCTGCATTCTTTCAAACATACCAGCAGATGTGTTTGCACAGCTCCTGCTCCTTTGTGAAAACAGGACAGGTGCATGTATGTGGGTCACCCAAGCACACCTGGACAACCCAAGCAAGAGAGAAAAATGGATACAATGGATACGTGAGCAGCATCCACACAGATAGGCCGAACATTCCACCTTGAAGTTTCGGGTTTCTCCATCCTCTCTGAGCAGAAATGCTGTCGGGCCATAGGACTTGAGCAGTAGCATTGTTGTGTTGAGGGCTTGGTCCTGGTTTGAACTCACTGCATGGCTGACAGTGTTCCTCCAGGATGTTTTCCTGAGCATCTTGTTACTACATTTAAAAATAAAATAGTTTATTTTTCTGTTGTTTTTTTTTTTGTATAAAACTTAAACAAGAAGCAGATAGATAACAGATTGTCTAGACTGTCCTGTGGACAAGCAAGTAAAACAAGATACAAGCTAAACCTAAAAATATTCACAAAAGTGTGAGACAAGTCAAACTAAATAGGATGTAATAAAGTGGCGCAGGAGACAGGTCAAACCAAACTAATGTAAAAATAAGCCAATAACAAAGAGTAAACCATATCACTGACACACGCCACTCCCACCATACAAGTTCAATTCAAACACCGACCAGTTGAAAAAGAGTTCATCTGGACAACCCCTATTCGTACTTTAAATAAAATAAAAACATTCAAAATAAGACTGTATGTCTTGGCAAGCTAAAACAATAGCTGCGTTTACAATGCTTCCTCCTCAACTAGCATACACGCGTTTTACTTCTTACGTTTGGTTATTTCTTACGTTTGGTTAGGCATAAAAAAGAAAGTCAACGTTACCTTTATATGCAAAAATTCTTTGTTATTTTCGCCTAAGCTTTCACGTGGTCATAGTTTTCACGTTTTAAAACAACAACACGACCTTCGGGCTCCTCCTGGAGAATGTTTAGTCGTGATACTTAACGCTTGTTAGACATTTCCGGTAACACCGGGACTGGAAAACGGGTCTTTTCAGGATGTCAGAACCAACAGTTACGTTTCCCAGTCAATTAAACCTGTCCACAGAGGTTTATGGCGTATAGGAAAGAACATTCTGTTACCTGTTTTTGACGGTATTAAATTAAAAAACCGGCCACAGTCACTTTGAACACGAAGTTGCTCGCAGTCTTGTAGCCATGGTAACGCGGAGACTGCGCACATGACCTTATTTGACCAATAGAGGGCGCCTTTGCTCACGCCAACAATCGTGAACGGCTGTTTTGTATTAATGATATATTACTTTAATTTCAGTTGTGTTTATTTGAGAGATCATCGAATTCCACATACTAGCAACAAATATTTGCATTTTGAATTGTACATCACAGTGAATTGAATTAACTTAATACTACATGCTATGTAGGTGATGTGACAATTCAAATTCAAACTAAAATATTGCTCAAACGAATAGAGTACTCCATTTCATTATCACATTCTTATGTCATATTGAATAGGGTTTTTGTTCATATATTTTGGTAATTGATTTAAGAAATGCTTTGTGATGTTCTTCATTACTCTCTGGGGATGTTTTCTTCATAAAAGGCAAGTGAGTGATGTCATCGACAGCTTCAGATAGTTTTCATCAGTCCAGCACGGCTCAGTGTCCCCTCTGCCTCTTGTACCACACACATTGGAGAACTACACCAGCGGAAAACATATAAACAGCTTCTTAACATTCCAGCAAAGATAACCTGCCCTGACAAAAGGATTACTTTTGGCTCTGGCAAAAACATTTTTACAATTTTTTTTTCTACTTGTGTGAAGGTAAGCTCCATTACTTTTGAGAAAAGTTCTGTAAAGGCCACGGCTAAACGCTGAAAATATGTCAGATGTGTTTCAATAATCTGGTATATCTCAAGGAAAAAGGCTAAATATGTTTTTAATCTGACAGTCGGATCAAGGAAGTAACTGCTATGATATTTGATTGTAGTCTGTTAGTTTTTAGGAAGTAAAAAAGGCATATGTGTGGGACTGTTTGACAAGGTATAGAAGAGAAGAGGTCAACAATTCCTAAACTAGAAGCCATTATCTGTATTTTCTTTAGATTCATGAAGAGAAATATTTGGGACAGAAACAAGGGAGATGATTTTTCGTTGACAGCCTTTGAAACATGGCAGTCTCATTTAGTGTCACCCGTATGCTGTACATGTTGGCATGAATTCTAACGTTTCGTAATTGTTGTGTCATTTCTATGATACAAACATCCCCCATCTTACATAGCTTTTAGACAGTGCTCCTTTTAGGGATAGCTCTCTTTATGGACTTTTTTTAGTTAGGTTTCTAATATTATGTCAACACCTTATACACAATAGACTTGATACAGTATGCAGCAGTATCACAGAAGGTGAATGACATAATTAAAAGCTGCTTTGTAATCATGTTGATAGTAACTTTCCAAAGAAGAGGATGCTTCAAGAAGATGCAGTCAAGTAATCTAAATGTTTAAATACTAATATGACTGCCTGTACTTTACTTGTTTAAGGTCTTAAAAAGCTAGATTTTTTTTGTTTTTCAGATTGAATGTTTTAATTCTCAACACTTGGAAGATAAGTTGTCAGTACTTCACAAAACACAATATCTACAGTGCAATGCAAAACTATTGTGCAAACATCTGTTTGTAGGTTGTTTCCAAGTAGCAAGCACATAGGTTGATTTTTATTTTGGCATTTCCAGACTTTTACAACTAATGTTTTATTTATTTATTTGTTTAAAAGTAAATGAACACCAGGTATGTTATTCAAGCAGAAATTGCACCTAACTCAAGGGATGAACCAGTACAGTTTCACACCAACAGTTTGATTCCAAACGGATTAGTGGTGATATAAAAGGAAAATAAGGAAAACCGACATGAAGAAATGTCAAGGGAAAAAACTCCATATACAAAATATTACCCTTTTGAAATAGCTTTAAGAAACAACTTATTAAATAGGCCTGAGAGATGCCCTCAGTAGATCCATATACTGTTTACTGAAGCCTCATCTGAAGTGGTCTTCCTGGCAGGGTGGCTCTGAAAAAGCCACTTATAAAGAGGGACAACTGTGAGAAAAGGTGTCAAATGATACAGGAAGTTGACTGAAAATCAGTAGCAAAGGGTCTGATGGAGGGATGAATCCTCCCCAGGGCCAAGATCTCAACACTACTGAAGAAGTGTCGGATCATCTGACAGACAACGGAGCAAACTATTCCTGAAGACTACCCAAAGACATGACAGGAAGCTCAGGAGCTGCAGGCTGAAGAATAGAATTGGGCAGACAATACACTTTAAAGCTGGTTAGGGCTGTACAGTTTGTGTTTTTGTTCGGTATCGTAATTCATCTATGCAGTTATTGCTTTACTTCAAAAGGAGACCAGGTTTTTCTGGCTGTTCAGCGGCTTTGTTGGCAAAAATAAATTCTTCTCATTTTAGGCAGATGATTGTATCACAGTTAACCCACCTCGTGTCATGATTACGGCTGCTTTCACTGTCACACCCAACAGGAAACAACTTATCAAATATGTCATAGATAAAACTCTGAAGTTAACCAGTCTGCGAGAGACTGACTAAAACTCCAACTTTTGTTCCAGCGTCTGACCAGGGCGCGTGACCAAACCATGCAAAGTTCTGGTTTGTTTGTAGGTTCTTATAAAATTCTCTGCTTACATAACATATCTAATTAGCTTATCGGAGCTGACATAATGGTTTATGATGTGTTTAGGGCCGAGCCCTGGTTAAAGTTGCTCAGCATGCATATTGCAGCGTGCAGGAAGGAAGCTGTGGGGAGAAGAGGAAACAGGAGGGCAAATGTGTGACCCTGACATCCCCCAAAAAAGGGGAGACCTTACTTTAAAACTTCTAAAACACACGTGTGAAAGGATAGGATATTTGTATGCATTTTGATGAGTGGAAGCTGTTTCTGTGGGTGTGTGTCAGGTAACACTTGTGGACAATTTACAGCATGCAAGAGGTAAAACATGAACATCTCATAACAGAACCGGCACATGGGAGCCAAAAGAAACACGGCAAAACTTTAAAGAAGATCAATGAGTGGGATTATAATGGGTGTGACGAAGCACACGTCCTGGAGTGAGAGACCAACTCCCGTCAACACCATGCGAGCTGGATCTGCTCAGCAGCTGCCGTGGTTCAGGAAACACTTTTATTTCTGAACTCTTGGGGGAAAAACTATTTGCAGCGGTGATGAAACTTTTACCTGTTCTCCCAGGTCAAATAAAAATAGAGCCCCCACCATAAAAAAACACCATCCAGCCTTCCCTGTGTGGTTTTTATCATGTGCATTATCATTGAGGTGCTTTTTTTTCATGCAACTCAGTTAAAGTGATAACTCATTGGAGATAATTCTTTGCAGAATAACATATTTTCACAATCTTTTCCTCAGTTCACATGGCGATCAGAGCACAGATGGAATGGAACTGCATTGTGTCTCTTCTGGTCATCTGTTCCATCAACAAGGTAGCGATAGCATGCTGCTCTCTGACACGTGGTGTATTACTTTTAAGCAGATTTTAAGGTTTTTTGCAAGGGACCCTCAATTCCAAAAGACAGTCAACAGCACAAAATTGAAAAATATTCTTTCCCAGAATTCTTTCCTGACAAATAAATCTGGTTGATTAACAGTTTATTTATATTTATACTTTTTTTTTTCGTATTTAGGGGTTTCTGTTTTGTTTTAGTTTTTGACCACATGAATCGCAGGGGGAAGTCAATCCAACACGTGGACTTAAAAACAATAAAGCTATGCTGTCGCTGCCTGAGCAAAAAAAAAAAGGCATTTTCTCTCTGAAATAAACTGAAATATACAAGGCCTTCCATGAAAAGGCGCTTTGGATGGAAACGTATGTTGTTCCACAGCCTGTACAGACCAGCTAAGGTTTATCTTCAGAACACTTTCCAAACTTCCACTTAAATGAGAGGTTTTCAGCTCCTCCTAATCATGTAGCATTTCACTCATTAACTGCTTGAATGTTTTCCATGCCTTGTGTCTGTTTTGTGACACTGTCTGCTCCCAGCTGCCGGTGGTGGCAACGTCAGAGCATCTCACCCATGTGAATGAAGTTCAGCAGCAGAACCTAATTGCGAAGGCCCAGTACCAGTGTTTCCAGAGGATCATCAAGGAGACACACCAAAAAACGAAAAAAAATGGTGAGCAGAGGCAACAGCAGAAATATCACACCGTAAAAGCACTCGGGCAGATGTAAAACTGCGGAAAACTGCATTTAAATCTGATTTTGAGAATACACCTGACGTTATTAACTATCATTTCATATTGTATAAATTTAGTTTATCATTTACCGTGCATTACTTTTTCAAAATAATCTGGATTTGGACTACTGTAAGGCATTGCAGATCATGATACTTATTTTGAGGTTAGCATTTGATTTTAATAATACCAATCAATAGATATGTGTTGAGATATTAATATGACAATTGTTGTGTGTCATTTGCTGCGCTGTGTAGGGCTGGTGTGCAACGCGACATGGGATGGATGGCTGTGCTGGGATGAAGCAGAAGCTGGAGTGAAAGAACAAAACTGTCCAGGCTACTTCAGTGATTTTGACACTCAAGGTAAACTTTCTCCTTCCTCAAAATATCTTTAGAATGGCATGTTGTGATTTCATACCGAAATATGTATGGAGGGTATGGAGCAGAGTACTTGTAGATGGCGAGAGCTGTGCAGAAGGGCCTTTCTTCTTCAGGGTTCTGAGCTGTGGTCAGCAACCTTTTTCCCTGGAAGTTTTCCATTGCACGATGCCAAATGCTCTTTGCCTTTAAAGTAGTAACGAAGTTTCTCTCTGCTGTGGAAATCAAGAAAATTGATTAATCATGTGCACATAATGAGTAGTGCACTGAAAGATGTTTGACTTGGCATCTGGAGTAAATATGTCTATAAGGTTCAGCTCTGGTCGGCAAGCCTTGCCACATATTTATAAGTTAAAATGTGCTATTTCAGGAGGCTTTTTTGTACATCTCGTTAATGCATTATCGCTTAAATGTAATGTAGGATCCTTTCCTCAAATTGAATGGGTGCACTTTTTTCTAGATTTCAACACCAATAAGAAAGACTCATAAAATGAATTCAAATTGGCGGGTCTTTAGCATTCTTCATCTCGGAAAATGTGATGTGTTGTTTGAAGGGCAAATTCAATCGAAAATTTGCATCTGAAATGATGTGGCATGGTAGATTTTAAAAGGACCATTATCATTGAGAGGTGTGCACTGGGAACACAGGAAGTGAAGCAATGCTAAGATAATCTTATCAGTACTATTTACATGTAAAATAAACAACAAAGATGCCACTGATCTGCTTTTTACCATATGTAATGTTTTACCGTAAAGCTTGGCAAACTGTTCAGTGGTCTGCTGTTTAAACTTGATTCAGCCATAAAGCAAAACATCTGCATTTTGATAAAACTTTCAGTTTCAATAGAATCTTTTGATTTTGTGGTCCATTTTTTATTTTCACACCATATGCCTGAAATTGTTGATTTTTTACACCATAGATAATTTTAAAGAAGCTATGCTAAGGAAAGCCTTAATCCAAACTGTGTGTGAGTGTGTTTTTGATACTGAAAAGTAAAATAATCCATAAAGCAACTCTGTAAAAACAGGATCAATGTTCTCTGAGATTACGATAGGCTGTACTCTATTTAACCAAATCCAAAAGTATTAATTTTCATATGGTTTCACTAAATTTTGTGTCATAATAAGTTGTTTTATCAGAACGAGTCAGTATCAGCACTGTCAAGCTTTCACCGTCAAATGAGGAATAAGTGTATCTAATAAACAGAACAATGATAATCCTTCCCTTCCCTGACCACCATTTTTATGTTTGATGTGTGAGCAGTGATGGCATCCAAAGTCTGCACAGAGACAGGAGAATGGGGACGCCACCCATCAAGCAACAGAACGTGGACGGACTATACAAACTGCAATTCCAATTCTACGAATCATGGGAGGGTAAAACAAAAAGAAGCACATGGAAATAAAAGTTGCTATGCTGCTCTTGCTGCAGTTTTGTTAAATCAATATTTCACATGCTTTTATGTTTTTGTTTTTTTAGCAGGCAGCAATGACTCACTTTTACTTGATCATGATTGGGCACGGACTGTCACTGCTCTCCCTCCTCATATCGTTGGCAATATTTTTCTATTTCAAGTAAGTGTTTTATTGTCTGGTTTCCAGTTTTAAGCTGGTTGTTTAGCGCACAAGCTGTGGTTTAATGGCTAAAAAATGGTCTCTTTCTCTCAGGAGTTTAAGCTGCCAGAGGATAACCCTTCATAAAAACCTGTTCCTCTCTTTTGTGCTGAACTCGGTTGTTACCGTTGCATGGTTTTCGGTAAATAAAGAGGATTCCGTAAGTGACCTTTCTATCCTTTACAAAAATGTAACATAGAATCGGTAAAAGTTAGGATGCCACGGAAAAAAGAAAAGAAAATACCGAGAAATTTTACACCATTCTATGCATCTGTAATGTGCTGCAGGCCTACATTTTAGAACTAATATTGTTATCGAACAAAGTTTTAACTGTTTTAGATAGGAATAAGGAAAGAAACAACCATGGGTTTGGGGTGAATTTAAAAGTCAGCCAAAAAATGTTTTGAAGCAGTTACTCCACTAGGGCTGTAAATGCACCAAAGCTTTAAATGATGTTGATGCTTGAATTTAGAAATGTCTCCTCCTTTCAGGCCAGCTGCAAGCTGCTTGCATTCATTCAAATGTATATAATGAGCTGTAACTACTTCTGGATGCTTTGCGAGGGCATCTACCTGCACACCCTGATCGTGGTGGCCGTGTTTGCAGAAAAACAGCATCTGATGTGGTATTATTTGCTGGGATGGGGTAAGTAAAGGCTACTCTTGGAGAAAAAAAAACCTTTGTATTGCACAAAGACTTGGTCAGTTTTGAAAAAATGTCCTTAATTTTACCTTTACAGGTTTTCCACTTGTGCCGGCAGTCATATATTCAATAGCACGTCACTGCTACTACAACGATAAGTGAGTCTTTTTGATGCACACTTTACTTCTGTAAATATATGTCAGATATATTTGTTTGTGTGACAGTCTACTCTGCGTTATCAGATGCTGGGTCAGCTCCGCTACTGCCTTGCTGTACGTTATTCATGCTCCCATCTGTGCTGCATTAGTGGTAAGTAACTCTATGGGGAAAACTAGATTCAGTTTCTCTGCTCTTTAGTTTTTTGGGGGGCAAATCGAGCAGTTTCAATTGAGCCTAATCTGTTTTTTGTTGTGTGTGAGTCTGTCTGTGTGTGTGTTATATGACCAAAAAACTAGCTCTTGGAGTTTAAATTTAAATGGGCCGTGGAAATTTTTGCAATGGACCAAATATAGATAGCAGTGAATATGAGCTTTTATCCAAGAGTCAGCACAGTCGTTTAAAGGCATGCAAAAAATGTACCACTGTAGCACAGGGAGTGATGGAGTACCACAGTCTTTTGCTGTTAGAAGAAATTATAGTGATCATAGTCATCTCTAATGCTGTTTGTGACAAAAACAGTGGTCAGTTAAAGTTGGTATGTATTATTTTCATATTTATGGTCCCATTTAAGGTATCGCGATAACTGTAAAGCTTTTAAACAAAGCTGCTGGGATATTTCAGTTTGAATTTCTTTTGTTTTTTTCAAAAGAAAAAACTTTGTCCAATGCCACGAGTCTGCATCTAATGTCATGACTGGCTCTTTGATCCGAGGTGAATTTTTTCTTCCTGCTGAACATCGTCCGGGTTCTCATCACCAAGCTCAGAGTTACTCACCAAGCGGAGTCCAGCCTCTACATGAGGGCCGTGAGGGCCACCCTCATCCTCATCCCGCTGCTCGGCATCCAGTATGTCCTTCTCGCGTACAAACCCAACGATCACTGGATATTCGAAATCTACCTGTACGTCATGAACATCCTCATGCATTACCAGGTCAGTGAGCGCTCGTGTGAGGAAAAAGAGAGACGAGTTTTTCTCGTTCGTTAACATCGCGTTTTTGCTTAAAAAAAATTCTCATTGCAGGGTCTCTTGGTATCTACAATATTCTGCTTCTTCAACGGAGAGGTCAGTGACAATTTTTGCTGAAGTGAAAAGAATAAGAAAAACAAGAATTTCTAAATATGCCTTTTGTCCAAATTATTTTCAAAAGAGAACGTTTAATCAATACAAACAGCCTGTAACATGCATGAAAGGGAAGATGTCAATTTCTTTCCCTCAAACACACATCTATGTTTCTGAGCAATTTCCTCCCACATGTCAACTTTAAAGTCTGGTGTAGCATTTATCAAGAGACACATTTGCAAAAAAAAAGGAAAAGAATTTGCCTAAAAAAATGAAACCTTCTGAATGAATAGAAGTTTTGTGAAAAAATACAGACACAGGGTTAATCTGAATGAGGGAGATTCTGTTTTAATACACGAAACATGACAATTATCTTTATGTATGACACATTTGATTTATTTTCCTAAAGTAAAGACACTTGATAGGTCAAAAACCCATAAAAAACAAACAAACAGATTTGAAATAGAGATGTTTCCCAGTACAATGATACCAAATTGGAAGAGAGCATAGTCTTTTTTTCTCTTGCAGGTACAGACGGTTCTGAGGAGACACTGGAACCTGCAGAGGATGCAGTTTGCGGGCACTTTTGCAAACGCTGACTTCTTCCGCCCAACTTCTTATGTGGCATCCTCGCTCACAGAGGTCCACCGCTGCTATAGCATTGAAAGCCACACGGAGCACACGAACGGCAAGGGCTACCCAGACATATTCAGATCGGACAGCCCCTTCGTGTGAAGGCAAAAAGGTCAGCGCTCAGCTCCCGAAGCTCCCAAAGATGAATGTTTTATAAGGGCTACGTCTCTGGTCACGGCGACTACATTCAAACTCTTTCTTTTTTTTTTCTATCTCCAATGCAATAATACACATATTCTGCTTTTTTTTTTCATGAGTCTGTAAGAAACATGAGGGGGGAAAAAAAAGACACGTTTTCATCATTTCTTACATCTCTTGACTATCAAAAGGGGTTGTTTACCAAACACCAGGAGGAAACCATGTGTCAGACAACCTCCAGACATGAAATTACCAAAAGGATTTTACTCTTCCATCATGTGGATGTGCCCTTAGGAGCTCTTGGCAAAACAGAATATATCTGTTTTGAGCTTAATTTCAACAGTATCAATGTAATATAAGAAAACAAAACATGTTGAAAATGCTCGGAGTATAAATGTACAAGTATAATAAGGCATTTTGGACTGTTTGATCAGCAATTTTGTCCAAAGTGGAAGTATTTGTTTAAGGCAGAGGCAGAGATGGGGCCAAGATGATTTAAATGACCTGAGTGATAGAAGTGTGTAGTCAAGCAAATAAGGAAAATGAAGTTGTCAAATCACGCAACATTTTTATGTGATTAGTTGTGATAATAGGCCCTATATGAATTGTAAAAACACATTAAACAAATTAGGCAATTATCCTTTTGGTCATGGTTACATTAGAATTGAAAATATGCAGTGTGGCAAGAGGTCTATACCATGGCTTGATGAGACTTCTTTTTATTTATGTATAAGTAACAGCTTAATCATTTTTTAAAAGTTTGATTAGGCTTGCTGTTTGTTCGATTTTATTTTCATTTGTTAGTGTTTCTTTTCCAAATGCTGGAGAATCTATGGGGAGGGTATGCATGTGTCTGTACATATTTTCGATTGTGTATGAATTTGTCATATAGTGGAGAACTTGACATGAATTTGTATAGTATATTTGTATTTGTAATACTTTAAAGTAAGTTAAACCATTACAGCATTATTTCCATTACTGAATATACTGGGGTATTTTTGTGCAGAGCTTATTATACCCTGCCAGAAAAATAAACACGGGAAAAAAATTAAGGAAAAAGGAAAATATTAGTTTAGCTTCACATGAAGTATTATACTAGCAAATTATGAAGTACCCCACATTATGAACTCCATTGAGTATATTTTAGCTCACAAATGATAAGTTATAAGGGTTCTTATATTTGAATAGGGAAACAAGCAAAAGGAAAAAATATAAACTTTCCTACCAAACTCACACAATAACAATACAACGTGATTCTCAGAAGTCTACATTTACTTATATACAAACTATATATAAAAACTGTCCTAAAAGAAACTGCCTTGATGAGGACCACAGGGCTTGCACATAACTAGATAGCTGATGTGAGCATCTCCTCTTAACAGTTGATTTGCTAAATTCTTAGATTAGCCGTGTACAATTTTTGAAACTTCATTAACATGTTTTGGGTGTTTGTTTGTTTATTTGCTCCAAAGACTGTGAAATGTTTAGCTAAAATGATAATCTGGGTCTCTGGCTTCAGTCAAGATGGAGTCGAGTTTTTGTTCCATAGTAGGAAAACTAAAAAGAAAATAAAAAACATAAACAGTTTCAACATTTAAGAATAAAGCAGAGAGATTAACTATCTATTTATGCAGTCTTAATTGCCCATTTCTAGAGGCCTCTTTGACAAGCAATGCCCAGTTAGCTGTTACTACACATACCTACAACAGGAGCTTAAGTTTGGACCCGAAGGTATAAAAGTTAGGATGCACCTATTCATTCTGATAGGATATGTAGGCGTCTCCACACTTTTGAAAGGTACTGTTAGCAGGAAAGGGTAAGCCTAATTTATAAAGCTTATTAAAAAAATGTTAAAAATCACCATCTTCTCTATTGTCTCATTCCTTTTACGCCCTCTTTTCTTGGTAGTGATTCATTCCCTCGGTCGAGAATTCGAAGAAATTCTGTGACAACTTTTTTTTTTCTTTCCCACATATTTAATTGAGGGTGGGATTTCCTTGTTTGACCTTAGAAAATCGTTCCCACTGTAATGAATATTGTTTCCAGACAAAGCAGGGTGGGTTGCTGTCTGCTCCTTGTCCACAACATATACACATGCAAACAGGTAACAATTAAGAAATCCCAAAGGAAATGGGCTATATCCATTCTTAATGTGCATGATTTATCTAGTTGAATATATAGAAGTCATTAAATCAGTACTATGGAATGCCGATCCAAGGCACATGTGCATGTTTGGGGAACTTTTACAATTATGAGAGATATGCTTGATATTCACTTGCATGCCTTGCATAGTCATGACCTCAATCCACATAGGACTCTGGTGTTTGAGGTTTTTGGACAGTGCCTGGAGCATCATCCCAGTAATCATAAAACCATTCCCTCCCATATTATTTTCTACAGAAAACACTAAAAGAACATTTTAGAGGCCTGGTTTCCACATTTTTTATCCTGCATCCTGTAGCTTTTGCATAACAAATGCTGTGGTATCTTATACATTTTTCAATTCTTCTTTTTTAAAGATTCTGTTTTAAAAAGAAATGACACTGAAGGAAAAGGCACATCTTTTTCACAATTGTAAGATGTGAGCTTATGTTTTTGTTGTTTACCTATTACAACAACATCCAACAAGCTGTGCCCCCCCCCCCCTCCCCCCGTATTTACCCCAGTGGAAATCAGACCTGTGGATGTATTGCAGGCTTCCTGTTTCTAAGAATACATTGCCATTGAACTCTTGATCCGCTGGCTCTTGTGTGTTGGTAGCAAACACTTCCTCAGCTTCATGACTAACACTTGTTTACTGCTTTAACTTCCGCTTGCTTCCACTGAATCCTAAAACATTTAGCCGATGTTTTATATCCCAGTGGGTTTCCAGCAGGCGAGCAGTTCTGTGAATTTGTCAAGGACATTTCCACAGGACATGAGAGAACACATGTGGTCACCTGCTTTGTGGCAATCCTGCAGACGTAGCAACATTGTCGCCCAAATTGATAGTCCGATTTTGGCGAGCCATACTTGGCTTCTGATGCACTGATGTAAAAAAAACATCCCCCCCGGAGACATAATCAGATCCTGATTGCATCCAATGTAAGTATTCATATACTTCAGTGAGTTTCTTGACTATTTCTCTGATAATCAAACAGCGACTCTGTTTATATACGCAAATTTGACCATTGTGATTTGAACAAGTTGAATGGACGATCGAACTCTCGCGCAAAATAGACACTTTATAAAGTGATCTTTTGTCATGCATAGCATTTAATCAGCAGCAAATGTTACTCGTACACTTGTTACAAGTGGACTCGGCTGCTGATTAGCAGAAAAAGACTTCAGTTCAGTTGGCCTTTTCCATCCTGAAGTTGGAAACCCCAAGTGAGCATCCTTGGAGAAAAAACATGGACGTACAAGATGTGATGCACTGTACCTTCCCTTTGGCAACAGGGGCGGTATGTCAGGAATGCATGAGGAAGAAAGTGGAATATCACCTTTAGGGCAGAAGTAGCTCTCAGTTGATGGTTGGAAATACCAAAGTAGTAATTAAGTGGAAGCAGTGAATGCTTAATCTGATATTCTTGGAAGAATGACTAATGCTTTGAAGAAGCATTTCCCAGCTTTAGCTTTAGAAAAACCTTTTGGGTGAAACAATAGCCGCACACCTTCAGTGCACACATGTGGCGCATAGCGTGCTCTGGCCCCTTGTGCCCGGGGAATCTCTCACTCCTGAGAACAATGGACCGAGTTCTTGACTGTGCTCGAGGGGTGTGGAGGGCGAACGGTGCAAGGGGTTGGGGGTGAGCAATGTGGCCTGGCTGCGTGGATGTGACCTGGGCTTGGGCGGGACCACAGGAAGTCTGCGGTTCGCCGCACGGCCCTCTCGGACTGCGGCACCGCCATGAATTATCCCCAGCAGCTCGTCATGAGGAGGTGTCCGCGCTTACTTGCCTGCTTTGATGGTTTCAGAGGAAACGTCACGTTCAAAAGTGTCAATAAGTCAGGTCGAGAGTGGTGGCGAGCGCGGATGAGGCCTGGGCCCCCCTACGATGGTGTTGAAATCCTCAATGTTGTATCGGCAGAAAACTTGTGTAGAGTTGTAGACTTTCGGTCTATCAAACCATAAAAGGTCAAATCAAAGCCATACGAAGATTTTATTTGCCAGTTTGGATTATGCTTAAGACACATCTTTCACAAATCTGGGGAAATCTGTGTCAGCACAGATTTGTGGGACTCCTTCTGCATGTCTCTAAACAGCTTGTTTTGAGGGTGAACGTGTCCTTTAAGATTCCTCTGGTGCAGTTCAGGCTGGGATGAAAGCCGTCATTCACAATGAGGACATGAACTTCAGCGCTGGGGCGGAGGTTGTTTGCTTTGCCAGCAGTTTTCGTCTGACACAGATTTTTCATGTCTAACAGAAAGGACATCTAAGACATCCCTCCCTTTAAACGTCAGTTATGTGAAACCGGCCTCTTCAGAATTTCTCAAACAATGAGCACTTACTCTGGTTTTAAAGAGCCCAGTTCCTTTTCAGCTCTGGGCGGCGGGCCTGCGTCCACTTGTTTGAGGCGCATCGTTTCTCTCGTCTTCTGCATCGTCCTGCCAACAGGAACTCCCTCGCTCCTCTCCCAGTTTCCTGCCATTGTTCTCCCCCCGCTGCCACCAGGCACAGGCTCCTCCCAGGATCTGGGAAAAGGTGGGAAGTTAAAGCGGCCCGTTTCCCCTTTGATCAAGTCCGACCTCAGCTGGCAAAGAAGGGGTGTGTGTGAAAAAGTCAGATCGGTTACGTGTTCATGTGTGATTAAAAGCTTTTTTAATACTCATTTGATTCTTGATAATCACATTCAAGTGGATGAAAAGAGCCTCCAGTCTTTTTTTAAATTTTGAACTGATCATAGTATTCCGATACAGATTAGCAACAACATTTAAGGTCTACTTATAACGATAAGTGTTACGTATCCAAAACATGACATATCTGTTTTAATGAATTTGTGGAAGGTCCTAAAGGGTGACTTGAAACTGCGTTTAGAATCAAACCTGAATACATGAATCACTCCAGTTGACCAAAGGCAGTGGACACAGCTGACCTTTTGCCACAGCTTATCAGCAGCATCATCCAGTTTGAACCGGTCCGCTCTGTAAAGACACAAACTCACCCACAGCACAGGAGTTATCTCAACGCTTCAGAGTAAGACCCCCCCTTTTTTTCCGACCATCTTTCTTTCTTTCTCTCTTTTTTTCCATCTAAGATTGTACACAAATAAATCCTGATGTGGCCCTGTGGTGCGAACTCCAAAACAATAGCTCACAGACCATAACAATATTCCATGAAAAACACCACATCACAACTTGAAAGTGTTAACCAAAAACATATCTCAGTTTGTGCATTCTTCATATTTCAAGAACGTATTTGTACACGAGGCCAAGTCCTGCATGTGTTATATGCATTGCAGGTATTTGCACCAACTAATGCTGAAAAGCGCAACACGTTTGGCAAATTATGATTCCACTCAAACAACTAAATATTCTGTGGATGATAAATATATTTTCCAGGAACTGCCCCTCTTAATCCAAATGTTCAAACCTTCATGGCGGTAGCAACTTTAACGTTGTTAAGGTTGCATTGAACATTTAAAGGGTGTATTGAAACAAAAACTTGCTAAAAAGACTTTTACAGTACTTGTCTCTGCTAGTGTATTCTTTGGCCCATTCTTGTTGTAACTATGGGAGATGGTGGATTCACACCTCACACAAGTCCACTTTCATTTGAGATCTCACACCACTTTCAGGATTTGAAACTGGATCAATCATGGGCAGTTTGCAGTTTATGTTTCTGAACCCCGGAGATTGTGGAGCTTTTGAAGCGGCAGCCCCAGGTGGAAGACATCACGGTGAATAGGAGCCAGCAGGCACCAAGCCCATTAAGAGGGAAGTGACATCAGCACACAATGAAAAGCGTAGAACCTGATATTAATCATGTTTAGGGACGAAAGGTTACCCGTTCTGTTGGGATGTCAAAGTCCAGACGCATGATAACATTCAGTTTCAGTTAAAAAGAATATAAAAGAAATCACAATGATATTAATTTCAATTGAATTTATATAGCGCCAAATCACAACAGCTATCTCACAGCGCTTTCCAAAAAGAGCAGGTCTGACCCTACTCTGAAGTTATAACTTACCATTCAAGACTCCTAAAAATATCAGTTTAAAGTAAAACTCATTCAGGGTTTTGAAACAGGTTATTATTATCATCATTATTATTTTGAATTATCAGTTCAAAATAATGTCTGATTGTGTGGGATTGAGCAGGTATTAAGTGACAAGCAGCAATGGAGGCTTGCTTGACCTGTCGGGCACAGGAAAAAGAGATAAAGCACTGACATCTTACAGAATGGTTTCACCCTGTAGATACAGAGAGAATAAATTACAATAACCTCCGAATATTATCCCTCAATTGTGAGAATCTCCTCTGCCTTGTTTCATGCCAGCAAAGGATAGTTCAGGCAAACAGTTTGATCTTTTTCTCATGATCCGTCCCCTGTGTTCTTTAAGTGTTTTTAGAGGGGCGTCAGTGAGGTGGGGTTGCAGGGTGCACAGGAAGGAAAAGGAGTAGCTGGGAAATCTCATCGAGGCTCCTCAGTGAACAAGAGACACCCCAGTCAGGATCTGGGCGTCGCTGCCAAGTCATCTCAGGGTCGCAGACTGTAGCGTCCACTCTTTTGTGTGAGGCATGTGCAAATACATTAAGCACGGCTGGCGAGGTCCGTGTTAGGGGTGTAATGCAATCAGACCTGCAGAGAGACCCGGGTGCATACATGCATGGGAGCCAGAGTTGATTACCCTCCTGTTGGAAGTCTGCCAAGTAGAAACTTCTCACCAATCAGGTTAAACGAGATAGTAAACGCACATAATGCTGTATTTTGAGCAAACAAACACTGGACATCACTATTTGTGTGACAAATTCAATGAGGCTCAAAATAAAAACTGTTAAACAATATTACTCTAAGCATATCACCATCATTTGAAGGTTTATATAAGCCTCAGGGGGATGTTAGCATGTATTTTTCCAAAATGGAATTTAGAATGAAAATCGAATGTACATCATTTATATGTACATAGAGGATGTACTTTGCTTCAACCACAAAACACATTTCACTAGCAAACAAAAACATAATATATTGGAATGGAGAACGAATGTTGAATTAGAGCATGGCCTCAGAAAAGATAGACAGAATCCCTTATTCCCAACAGGAGGGGCTGATTGTTTCTAAACTGTGATTGACTACAATTTCAGCAGGTTTTATGAGACAAAGCTATGGAAACATGCAGCGAAATAATTTACACAGAAAGATTGGATTGCTTTACTGACACTTTTACCGGTACTGTTTTCCACTGTCAAAATGAAAATAGAAGCCCAAGCTAAAAATGACCACTTCAACAGATGTGGTGTGAGCTTGGGATGCAGGAAATGGTAAGAGTGTCACGTCTTTCAGCGAGCGAGGAGGGGAGAGGTCACCCCAGGAACATGTGCTGCCTGAACTTTGACTCTTTTTCTTCCTGTAAGGATGCCTTCTCTCTCCCTCTCTCTTTTTTGTCTTTTGTCCAGTCACACACCCAAAAGCATGCAGACGCACCAGAGTTGAAGTGGAACGCCTGAAAGTCTCACGTGATTCATTTGAGACATTTTGTTGAATTTTGCGTTTGCTTTATTTACAGAGGTTGGAGTCATGTTGGACATGTCAATTTACGATGCAATTTATATGAATAAGGAACAGATTTCTGTTTTTTTTTAAATCACTGAGCTCAGCTGGGATGTCAGGTGAAAACATTCCACTTTGTTTTGCTATCAGAATTAAATAGTATTGTCTCCATCTAGTGGCTACAAGGTAGATTTATGCTAATGCAAGGTTATTTTTTTCAAACCAAATGTCATTCATGAAGGCAGGTAAGCTTAGTTGTTCCAAAGACAGACATTTATTCCACATCCATAGTCAACAAACAAATAATCTGCAATTTACAGTCATATGTTGCATGTACAGTTTAGGTTTTCAAATGTGATATAAAGGATTTCTGTTGAAAGAGTAACTGAGTTCCGGAAAGGAACTTAATAATTTAGGTTCAAGCTTGATTTTCATTATTCATACTATAAAGACTATAGTCATTTCTATATCAACTCTTGCTTAAATAAGGGTCATTGGCTGTGCATGTTCTGGAAAAAATGTTCAGGCTTGATTGCTTTGATTCTCTTCATAACGTCTTTTAAAAACAGTATGTTGTCAAATTCCCATTACAACATATTTCCAGTTTCATATTGTCATTGAGAGTTCGTGCTTTAGATCCTTTTGATCCTACAAGTTGCACAGTTCCTGAATGCAGCCATGTGTGAATGGCAGCAGTATAACACCAAACCCCTATCGCAGTTGATTTTAAACCCCCTTAAAAAGGGGCAATTTGTGTCCATCTTTTGTTGGCAATGCATTGATTTAAGAGAAGCACACCGGGCCGATATCCAGGCCGAATTCCTGATCGGCCTTTCCGACGTCCATGGGTGCAAAGTCCACGATCGGAAGTCTGGTCGAAGTCTGAGTCCTGTACTCAATCACAGTCTTACCCCACCCTCCGTTTGATTTCTTTGGGTAAAAGGTTGTCAAAAAAGGGAAGTCAGTTGAAATCCATTACATACATTTTTCTAAAATCCAGAATTATTTCTTTTTTCATTATTGGAAGACTTACCGAGCAGCCGTCCTCGATCACCGAGTATCGCAGCCTGTTGTTGCCCTGTGCTCTAAGTTCTTGGCCATTGAAGCCTTTGAGGACCATGGCTTTCTTTAGGTTGCTGCTCTTTTCTGCTTTATAAGCCACACTGTTTTTGCAGTGGTAGGTGATGTTCTGATGTGACTCTTTGGACAAAACCTGCAGCAGCTTCAGCTGGACAGCCACTGCATTGGGTTGTTCCTCTTTGTTGCCATACTGGAACTAAAAATTAAAGATTAGAAATCAGTATGGCGTATACATATAGTTTGAGACTGTTTCTGTCATGAGAGAACCTCTCTTTTCTTACTTTTGTTCCACCATTCATGTCTGTTGCAAACCAAATGGGCTTGTTGGGAGTGGGAACAGATTTTGTCCACCATGCTTTGCGAGGAATGTTGGCCGGATTGGCAGAGATGCAGGTTTCCCCAGTTTCCATGTTGCAGAAGACTTTGATGGCATCTTTTGTGCTCCCTTGGTTTGGATCTAACCAATACTCACCTGTCGAAGATACAACATATACAATTGCATGAGAGGACGTCTTATAAGATTCAAATAATATAAAGGTAACAAAAATAAGAGAAGTAAGAAGGAAAGCCTCTGACCGCTCCTCTTCTGGGGGTAGCACAGCTTTATATCCTGGCAGGTTTTCGCAGGGTTCATCTTAGTGCCATCAGGACTCCGCAGAACTTGCAGATGTCCATTGAGGGTCTTTAGGGAGGCTTGGACTCCCGTTGCAGCACGCAAGATGGCTGGTTTCTTATTGGGCAGAGCTTCGTCTTTGTTGAACTCTGGAGATGGAGGAGGATCAACACCTGCGTCGTACTCTGTGAGCTCCAAAGCTTCCTGAACACCTCCATTCTCATCATAATCAAGTGGGCCGGCAAAGAGCTCTTCCACAGCTGCAGTGGGAGGTCCTGGGGGGCCGGGAGGGCCAGGAGGTCCAGGTTCACCAGGAGGACCCTGATTATGAAAAACAAAGTTTCATTTGAGTCTCCCGCAGTCTTTATCCTAATCTTAAGAGAATGAATCCTTGCTGTTGGATGAACACTTTTAGGTTGACGAGGAACTCTGAGTCACCTCGGCTCCGAGGTCACCACTGCTTCCTCTGCTTCCAGGGGCACCCATTGGTCCAGGCTGGCCAGGGTTCCCCTCCTTTCCTGGAGGACCGGTCACCCCTGGAGGGCCCTGTGTGTTTATAACAAACATTTAGATCTCGCCTAAACATGAGCTGTTTTTTTCTTTCATTCAAGCTCTCTTCAAAACTGCTTTACCCGCGGTCCAGCTGGTCCAATTATTCCTTTAGATCCTGCGTCACCTGTGGCACCCTATAACAACAAGAATTTACCTCTGTAACCTTGTTACTTTTCCCAACTGATTTATGTTTGTTTGTTCAGTTTTTTTCAATAATAATCTTTCAATACAAAATGTTCCCTTTGTAATAACCAAGTTCTCACAGTTATTCCTGGTAAACCATCCAGTCCAGTGAAGCCCCTGTGACCTTTCTGACCCCTCTCTCCTTGCTCTCCAGTTACTCCTTTTTCTCCTTGTGGTCCTTGAGGGCCCTGATGGCAGAAACAATTGACAATACAGGGTGATTACTTAACACTAAACCTAAATCTTTTTTTTTTTATTACCATTTTTATCAAGTTTACAAGTTTTATCCACATCTGGAGGGTTGGGAAAATGTCTCACCACTTTGCCCCGTACTCCGGCTGGTCCTTGAGGTCCAAGAGGGCCTCTATCACCCTAAAATCATGACAAATGAAGGCATACGACTGAGTATGATTTTACTTTACTGCAGGTGGAATATTCCATTGAAAATCTGTTTTGAATCTCACATTTTTGCCTCTTTGGCCTGGACCACCGGTTAATCCCACTGGACCCTCATTACCTGAAGACCCTGGGGTACCCGCCAGACCCTCTGGCCCTGGATTACCCCTTTCTCCCTGCAAACAGAAAATGGATAACAATCAATACAAATAACTCACTTAATAAAAAACATGTTTACACATTTACATTCCCATGACTCACCCTTTCTCCAACAAGACCATCTTTACCAGGAGACCCCTCAGCTCCAGCAATACCCTGAAATTACATGGAAATGAAGACTGAAAATTAAGAATGCAAACAAGCCACATAGAAGTCTTCAAAGAAATGACAGCTTTTAATGTGGATGCTAATTTTGATAGTTTTAGGACAAATCTACCTCAAAAGTCAACAAAAGCTCATCACATCTACAGTCCAAGGCACTTTGACACATTCTCATACATGATTATCACAGAATGAGCAGCACTCTTTATAAGTCACTTAATGAGAGCTAGTTATAAGCATTAGACAAAATCTGTAATAAAGCTAAAACCATCAAGACAAACCTCGCGGCCAGCCTCTCCTCTTGGCCCGGTGGGTCCTGGTAAACCAACCAAACCAGCTGGACCTTTGCTTCCCGGACCTCCTGAGGCTCCAGGTTTTCCTGGTGGACCCTGCAAAAGAAAAGGAAAAAAAAAAAAAGCACATTTCAGTTGCGTAGCAGTAAATGCACTGTTGGAAAGCATCCTGGCTGACAAATAAAGAGAAGCATTATCAGGAGAAATACATACAGCAGGACCTGGCAGCCCCAACAGGCCTCTTTCCCCCCTTACTCCTGGCTGGCCGACAATTCCTCCTTGTCCTGTGACACCAGCTGGACCTGGAGGCCCATCAGGGCCCTGAGAGAAAGACAAATACGTAAGTAACTGATATACTTTTGGCTTAACCATAAATCTTTCTCAGCTTTTCACCGGAGGTCCGTCCTCTCCAGGTTCGCCCTTCTCTCCAGGGCTGCCTGCTGGACCAGGAGGTCCCTTCTCGCCTTGATGACCGACAGCTCCGTTCTCTCCACGAATTCCAGCAGGACCCCGCTTTCCTGGAGTACCTATTGGCCCATCTGCCCCTACGGCACCCTTTAACACAAACAAGCAGAAATTATATTTCCAGGCTAATACGAATACACATGTGAAAATGGACTTGTTCATGTAAAACAAAAATATCAACGTTTTTATTGAGTCAGAACTTGAAGTAAAATTATGTTAAAGATGGGATATCCATTTATGATTTTAACAAATTAGGTGATCATAATGTCACCTCATGTCTGAACATTTTTAATTGAGTATTTAAGATCAAATAGGTCAATTGTGACAACTCACAAGAGAGCCAGGAGGTCCAACTCCTCCAGGAAGTCCAGGGAAGCCAGGAGAGCCCTGTGGGAAAATAATGCTGGTGATGAAGTGTACTTTAAAGATAATAACAGCCCCGGTCACCCATGTTAGGCCAGTCAGTATTTAAAGAGTAAAAAAAAAATAGAGTATCACTCACAGATGGACCCTGCGTTCCTCTGCCACCTTTAAGTCCAGTCACACCAACAGGACCCTGGGAACATGCAAGCACATTATCTTGCATATTTGTAAATGATCAGAATGACTTATTCAGTTCAGACTGACTGGGTGGAGCTTCGACAGCTCCATTTTTTTTTTTTTTTATATGTCCACAAAGTTTGTTTCTTTACCTGTTCTCCTGGTTTTCCAGCCGTCCCCTGTGGTCCGGGAGCTCCTGTTTCTCCCTTCAGACCTGGCTCTCCTGTTTCACCTTTGACCCCAGGCTGACCATCAATACCCTGGAAAAGATAGAGGCACACACACAAAACCTGATCATGAAAGCTCAGGTAAAAAAATAAAATAAAATAAAATATATATATATATAGTTTTCTTTTTATGTTAATTCTCTGGGAATGCTTGGTCGCTCACAGGGGGTCCTTGGAAGCCAGCAGCACCAGTCGGGCCAGGATCACCAGTAGAGCCCTGTTAATATCCACATAATCGCACAATGGTCAACAAGGAAAGCACAATAAAGAAAAACATTCAGACTTAATGCAAGTTGAAAGATTTCCACGTACAGCAATTCCCCGTGAGCCTCTACGCCCATTAGGCCCTGGTGGGCCTGTTTCACCCTGAAATAAAAACATATGTACACTTTAAATAAAATCGTAATCGTTTCCTAAAAACACACAGTGTATCCTTTAATTGATCATTTTGCACCACAGCACTCAAAAAGATTTGCCCTCCTAATCCTGTCTTTTAGGGTTTGATTGTTATTCCCCTGCTACTAGTATCATATTTTTGGCGACTAATAAAAAAACCTGAGAATTCGTGTTTTATAGTTAAAATTCAAAGTTACCTTCATTCCGTTTGGTCCGGCAGGACCGGGAGGTCCAACAGGACCAGCAGTCCCCTTTTTTTTTAAATGAACAGAAATGATTAGTTATGTAAAGATATTAATATTTTAAAAATGTCTGGCTAATTTTGTACATTTTTTGTTGTCTACTCACCCTTGCACCATCAGCTCCAGCTTTGCCTTCTAGTCCTTTTTCTCCAGCAGAGCCCTGATGGAGGAAATTCGCATCACAAGTTCCATTTGATGATATTGTTGGTGTACAAATGTCAATATATTTCCATAAATGTGCAGTTATTGTGGTTATTACCGTGCTGGCTTTTATACCTTTCAGATCTACATGTTGAATATACTGTTGCATAAATAACGTGTGGCAAACAAAATAACATGTCACATTATCCATATTGCACTAAACCATTAACGGATGCCAGAGCCTGCTTTTGAGGGAAAACTGATGTTTGTTTCTTTGCATATGATCTAATATTTTTTACTTACAGCATCTCCCTTTGGCCCAGAGGGTCCTGGAATGCCTCTTTCCCCTGGCATCCCTTGAAGTCCTGGACCTCCTGGTTCTCCATCAGCACCCTTTGGACCTGGATTTCCCTTAAATACACCACAAAATATCATCATAAATAAATATGACAGTTTTCAGTGTAGCAAATCTTGATGAGGTTTTATTGTATCAATACCTTTGGTCCATCTGGTCCTTGTCCACCTGGACCACCTTTAGGTCCCTGCAGCCCATTGGGCCCAGCTTCACCTCTTTCTCCTGGTGGACCTCTTTCTCCCTGAAAGGATAATACATAGGTAAAGATAGCTATGTATTGCACAAACTAACCTTATGATGAGAGTTAAACTAAATAGAGAGGATTTGTGGACTTACTCTTGGACCTGTTGCTCCATCAGCACCAACCTCTCCAGCAAGACCCTGCAAAAAAGGGGGGGGACATTAATTTTCAACTCATACATTTCTTAAGGCAAATATTATACTTTTACTTCCTTGTACCTCATCACCAGGTTTTCCAGACTCTCCAGGGGGACCTGGGGTTCCGGGCAAACCCTAAATAAAGACCAACACAGGTTTTATCCAAATGTAATGGCAATCAGAGATAAGAAAACCCAGCAATCGGTTAACTGGTGTGATTAAATCAAGAGTTTGGTTCAGTTTCAGTTTGTTTTTGTTCTGGGTATTACTTAGCTAATGTATTTTAGACATAATCTAAAAAATACAGTGCAAATGTCATACATGTAGGTATTTAATTAACCAGTCCCTCCTAAGCATGCAAAGTTAACACGATGGTTAAACAAGGGTTGCATAACTTTAAATATTAATTAAAGAACATTTTACCTGGAAACCACTAACTCCCTGGGGTCCCTGTTCTCCCCTCTTTCCTGCAGGACCCTGCAGAACAGGAAGAAAAAAAGATGATTGAATCAGATATATTTGCTGGTTTAAATATCAACAGTAAGGTGACAATCACTTAATTGCTTACAGCTGGGCCTGTCGGACCGGCAGCACCTCCTTCTCCATCTTTTCCATTTACCCCCTGGGTGAAAATATATAATATTGGGTACTTGGAAAAATATAGGTACTTGTTTTTCTATTGGGAAATTAAGCCCAAGAATGAGAATTAATCGTTGGTAAAAAACTTGCCCTTTGACCAGGAGCCCCAGCACTTCCAGGCTCTCCAGCCTTTCCAGCATCCCCCTTAAAATGAATAGGTATACAAAAAAAAAAAAAGAAGAGAAAAATTACATCAACTTAGTTTTTATGAGGGTTTTCAATTAAGGTACATTTCATCACACTTATATTAGTCAAGTCAATATGGACAATTTTCATAACAATTAGACATCCCCGGGTAACCTTATCTGTGAAACACTCCTAAAAATGCCTAAATGTGTAACCCTTCAAGTAAGACACAATCACACTGACTGCAAAGCCCTTTGGTCCTGGCAGACCCATGGGTCCAGCTCCGCCTCTGTTTCCGATCGACCCAGCAGGCCCTGGTTTGCCATCTTCTCCTGCTGAGCCCTAAAAACACAATTAGTTAGTATCACTTAATCGCCAAACAAATAAATTACGTACGTAGACATGTCTAGTTTTAGGAAAAGTGTTCATACCATTGGTCCTTGTCTTCCCTCTGCTCCCTGTGCACCGATAAGTCCAGTAAGGCCCTGTGAAATACAACACAAAAATTTTATGGAGGATTCTGAATCGTATTTGCCATTTATCTTATAGTAGTACATAGTACATTCATAGTTTATAGTCTTAATGTTGACATTTTAGTTAGTAAAGAGAAATTATTTATTTTAACCGTTGTCTGTTTATATAACCAGCTTAGCATTTCATGAAGGTTGTATCAAATGTTGCTGTGTATTCCTTACCCGAGCTCCTGTTAAACCTGCCTCTCCGTTGCGTCCTGGGTCTCCTGGTAAACCTTTGGCACCACCTGACCCTGGAACCCCTCGCTCACCTTGGGCTCCCTGTTCGGGACAATACGAAGTATTCAAAGCAGCACATTTAATAAAGTTGACAGTCTAATCATTTTAAATGACTAACCTTTTGTCCTGGTAAACCATCAGCACCAGGGAATCCTCTGTTTCCTGGGGCTCCCTAAAAAATAAAAATAAAAACTATATACTTCCTGTGTTCAGATTGGAGTTTTTCAAAGAATTTTCTATAACAGTTCTTGGTAAAATTGGCCTGCCAAATTAATGTACTCACTGTCTCTCCTGGAGGTCCAGGAGGACCAATAGATCCACTATCACCCCGAGGTCCACGCTTTCCATCGTCCCCCATTGGGCCCAATGGTCCCGGAACACCATGGTCACCCTGACATTAATCATTCAATCAATGTCAGATACTCAACACCTGAAACTATTTGAAATAATAGGTATGGCTTTTGACTAACTCGTTCTCCCTTCAGTCCAGCTTCTCCTTTGAATCCTGGGAATCCAACATCACCCTGTTGATTTTGAAAAGGTTTTCAGAAGTTTAAAGTGAAAATAAAAACTCTAACAAATTGGATTTGCAATAGGAGAAATTTAATACCAGCTGGCCTTTTGGTCCTGCTGTTCCTGTGGTTCCCTGGGGACCTGGAGGACCAGATGGTCCTAGTAACCCTGGAGGACCCTGAACACCTGCTATACCCTTTTTGGAAGCAAAATGATCAAAAACCAAACTGACACACAAGATTTATTAGATTCAGGTAGCAATTGTTCGAGAAATAATTACCGATGAGCCACGAGCACCTGGAGTACCATCTGATCCTGCAGCCCCCTGTGTGAAAGCAAAAAAATAAATAAAAAAATGGGATTTTATAGGGAAAAACTTTCCGTAACATGTGCTAACTTTTATATTTAAGTAAATGGAATGATGAGATTCAGGGACACCTGCTGTCCTGTAGGTCCAGGTGGTCCCACCCGCCCAGCTTCCCCTCTGGGTCCTTGCTGTCCCCGACTTCCTCGGACCCCTGTAGGTCCTGCTTCACCCTGCACACACATTTCAATGGTGTTGATAGCTTTAAATCTTTTGGTATGTGATGCTGACCACACCCTTTTCAGGATCATTATAGAATAAATAGCTTTATTGTCATTGCACTGAATAAAAAAAGATAACTCAGTTGTAGAGCAATTGTGAGAAGATCAAGATGTCCTTAGTTAAACTCTCGTAGCCCCCCTACTTTGTAAGGCGCTTTGGATATAGGCATCTGCTAAATGCATGAACATAAAATACTGAATCTAGTAAAATCAAGACAGTTGCATAATGTACCACAAAGTTTCTTCATCTTACTCAAGTGCTAAGTTTGTACATTAAGCTAAATAAAGTGCAGTTAAAACTTTTGGTCTTCAACAAATCTGTCCAAACATTATCTCACCTTCATTCCTGGGTTACCGGGAAATCCTGGCAATCCTGGAATTCCTATTGGACCCTATAATATATAAGGAGTTTGTTTAATATAATTACTTTCTTGGTAATTGATGCTACAAACACCAGCTTAAATATGAGAAAATCACCAATTTAATCATAAGTCATTCAGCATGATGCTTCAGTCATTTCAAACTGTTTAGTTTTAGTTATATGTTGATGTAAAAGGAGTTCCTACCATAGGTCCTGGTTTACCATCGTGACCTGATGCACCACGTTTACCCTGTAAGGAGAAAAAAATGTTACAGACATCAAAAACTGATTGATAATTTCATACTTCTTCCAGACTGGTGTTTCTGTCATACCACAGGCCCAGTCGGTCCAATTCTGCCTCTTTCTCCCTGCTGACCAGCTGGTCCCTGAAACAAAACAACAGAAAAGAAGAAGAAAGTGAAATCAGCATCACAATGGCTTTATAATCAACCTTGCAGGCTGCGTTTTTAACTATGTTAGTTGCTTACAACTGGACCAGGAGCGCCCATCGGACCAGGTGTACCAGAGGCTCCCTGTAAAACACCAACACACACAACTGAAATGTACAGATTTATACATTATTTTAAGGTGCTCTGACCACTCAAGAGAAGTCTGGACATCACGTTTTTTGTCTATCAATAATTCTTATAAATACAATAAAAATTTTGGAATTTTTTGGCTCGATTAAATCCGATGATACTTTGATACCTTGGCTCCAACTGCTCCCAGCTCGCCTTTTGGACCATCTTGCCCTGCGTGTCCCTGTTGGGAGATTTAAACGCAAATAACTATGTTTCTCACATGATAGCCCAAAGATAATCTTTAAAACGGTTACTACTTTGAGGCCTTTCAGTCCTGGGAGACCTGGAAGTCCTGGGAATCCTCTTGCTCCCTGCATGAAAACACAGCACACCATTTCTATTTATGTAAACCAGTAAATCATAACATGTGAAGAGTTTAATCCACGCTCTTTATAATAGGGCTTCATTAACTATTTCAAAGTTAATGTTCCTGTCAACACATGGAATTCATGGTTACCGGGGAGCCTGGAAATCCTGCCTCTCCCGTTCCACCTGCAGGTCCAGATTCTCCCTATGTAAGAAAAAAAATCAAATTATATTTGATAAAACTTTTTACAGATAATGAAAACAGGTAAAGATGTACAGTATGTTTTTCTGACTCACATCGGGTCCTGGTTTTCCTGGTAGTCCATCAGGTCCTCGATGACCAGGCTCTCCCTTTGAAAGCACAAAATGTCATCACAGTATTAAACGTTTAGAAGCACATTTAGTACCGGACTTTAAATTGAGTAATTAGCCTACCATTGGTCCTGGATCTCCAGCCTCTCCAGGTATTCCTTGACCACCAGATGGACCCTGAATTGGCCCATCAAAAAGAATCATGTAAATGGTCCACATTCATAAAGCCACATTTTCTGTTCTTTCTTTTTCAAATGTGTCAAGGTCTTGTTGTGCTCAGAATCAACGTAGTCAACATTTAATGGGCAATGCGGTGTCCAGTGTCACACCAAAGGACATTTCATTATATGGACATCCCTAAGATTCAACTACAGACCTTCTCATTGAGCACAAATACACAAATACCAATTTGGGGAAATTCAGGAAAAAGTTCTCAATCTTTTCAACCTATCTTAGCTCAGAGGACCAAACTTACTGGTGGCCCAGATGGTCCAGGAATTCCTCGTGGTCCTGCTTCACCCTGTAAAAAGATATTTTCATGCTCTGTAAGTAGAAATGCACAAAGCTCTAAACCTAAAACCAATCGCAAAAATGATTTCCTGTGCAGCTTTACTGGACTGACCCTTGTTCCCGTCACCATTCCGGCAAGACCAGACTTCTCACCGAAACCTGAGGCCATCTGTGACACCAGGTTTCCCTTTAAGGAAGACATTTATTAAAATAAACATTTTAGATACATGTCATTTTTTCCGTTTTTCTTTTTGAACAAAAAGTAGCGAAAGGAACAGCTAACCCCAGGGGGTGAAGGATCACCAGGAGGTCCTGGTTGTCCCGGGTTTCCTGGTACACCCGGCTCACCGTCAAAGCCTTGAGGCCCCGGAAATCCCTGCAGTTAAATGTCATGATTGAAAAAGATGGTTCATAGAGTGAACTGAGGAATAAAGGATTTCGGCAGAAAGGATTTCTGTTTGTAGTTTCTTAATGTTACAGCAGATTTCCAGTGAATATTTAGCTCATTTAAAGATAAGTTGAGAGTTTGTCTATTTGTCCAGAATCAGAAATAGTTTAATAATCCCAGGGGATTTATTAAATTAAATGACACATACGGCTTTTCTAGTCTAAAAATGTGTTCACTGTCTTATTTTATATTCTTTTTCAATGTAGACGTGAAGAAAGAACAGTATCAAATTTTTCTTTATAAAAGGAAAGCATACTCCAATTTTTAGAACACTACTTCTAATTTGTAATGAATACATTTTTACCACAATTGTCTGAAACAAAATATGAGGAGTAAATGAAAGAAGACATGTTGTCTTTCATGGTGTGAAAATATGCCGTTATTAAGAAACCATAATTGAAAATTGTGGAATTCTGTGGGGCACGGTAGATTCTTTTATGACACCCATCAGTGGGGAAGGTATAATTCCCTTGCAAAGCCAACTATTTTTCTCTCTGTTTTCTCTAATTATTAAATGAAAGCTACAACCTTCAGTTGAGATTCAGACTCACCTTTCTGCCTTTGAAACCTCTCGGTCCTGTTTTTCCCTGTGCTCCTGGAGGACCCTAAACAGCAGCGGGAAAACGTAAGAATATCATCTTCGAAACAATCAAAGATTTCAATTAGAAAGACATATTTTAGACACCGGTTTACTCACCTGTGGTCCTGAGGGTCCAGGGAGTCCTACCACCTAAAAAATACAAAGGAAATTGTTCATGTTTTGAATAGAGACAACACAGAAAATCCCATAACAGATACATTTACAGGCTGAGATTTCATACTTACATAGGGTATGTCACCTGGCTCACCTTTCTGTCCCTATAAGGGAGGAACAGGATTTATTTTGTGACAATTTCTTTCCATTTTCATTATTAAAAAAAAGACATCTAACTGCACAAATGAATTGCTCACCTTGAAGCCCATAATTTCTATACCAATGGGAAAAAAATATATATCATGTGTTTAGCATGGTGCATTCTTGAGGTATGAAGCAAAACAAGTGAAGTACAATGAATGAGAAAAAGGGAACACCTATCCTCCTCACCTATCCTCCTGGCGGCACTGGCAAAGCTGTCACACACGGGGCAGCACTCGCCCTCGGGTGTGACCACCTTCTCGCAATTTGCCACGATTTCACACTGGACCTCGTCGCAGACGGCAACGCCGTTGTCGCAAACGCACACGCGACAGGGCTCGGGTTTCCAGATGTCGTTGTGGTGGTAGAGCTCCCCTTCCACCGTGCAGCTTTCCTTTTTCCCCTCGTCAGCGGCTGCGGCAGAGGGGGTTAGTCAGACATCTTACTGCTCCTTTAAAGCCCTTAGAAACTCACGGAACTTAACACAGGAGTTATGTTTGTGTAGTTTTCTCTGAATTTATGCGAGGACAACCTGAAGTCTTTAAAAAGAAAAGGAATTTCAGAGAAGAACCAATGCATAAAAAAGACAAAGAAAAGAAAAACATGTCTGAACTGAATCGCCATCCCATTCACCTACCGCTGGCCTGACTTTGGTCCCAATTTGGACAATTTTATAAGTAGGGAAAACGGATCATTTTATTATCTAAACGGCTGCAGCAAGTCAGAGCGGGCCTACCAACCAATGTTTGCCCTGAGCTCCCAGAGTAGGTTTATCTGGCCGTGGTTGACTCAAGGCAAAGGGGGATTACCTGTTGCAGGGTCTGTGCTGGGAGTAAGTGGGGAAGTGGAAGTTAAGCACACAGGGCAACATTCCCCCTCTGGGATGGTCGTTTTCTGACAGTCACCCAGGTCCTCGCACACCACGTCTTCACACATGGCCGTCCCCATGTCGCACACACACACCCGACACGGCTCCGGGCTCCACATGTCCTGGTCGGCGTAAACTTTCCCGTTCTCTGTGCAGGTGTCTTGATGAAAGAGGAAAAACAGGGCAAATTCAGATCAATTCACACACTGACCACACCAGTGCATTGGCTCAAAACACACACACAAGTAACCCAGCTAATAAATCATTGCTGTTTTACCAAATTGACTTTTAATAATTTTCAGAATGTCATTGGTCTCTTAAAATGTATTTTCGACACATGCTCTACCATAGACAGCGTCCTGTGTGCAATCAGTAATACAACAACTCTGGGCAACAAATCCAAAGAGATAGATTAATACAAACAAAATACAATCAAACATTGTAAGAGTGCATTTTTTCAAGGGAAGTGGCCACAGCCTGTTAACATCAAGCTAAAGCTAACATGCTTGGATCCCATGATCATGCCTGTCATTCTAGTTTCTGAAGCCTGGGCTGAGGACAATGTCAAAGACTTGCAAATGAAAGGAGATGAGTCTGGCGTTGGGCAAAAATGACAGAATCAGAGATTTGATTGAGGAATACACCTTATTTGGTCAATAAGTTACTTGCTCAACGCTTGTGTGGCAGAAATGGTGACACACACAGCCAGGTTGGGAAGTGAACTTATCTGGTAAAAGTTAAATGTATCCCCCCTGCAAACTGAAAAACGCAATCAAATGACGCAATCAGAATTCCGCAGTGGTGTGCACGGGGAAAAAACCTGGAACAAAAAAGAGGTTCCAGGCCGAGAGAGACACGACAAAGAGCACCACCATCTGCCGAGTGTGAGGAACAAGCCTCCACAGACACAAGAAGGAAGAAAGACAAATTCCTGGATTGCGCTTGGGTTTACCGGTTTCTGCGCTAAGCCGCTCTTCTGCGGCCGCGCACACCGGGCAGCACTCGCCCTCCGGGACCTCCGTGGTCTGGCAGTCACCCACATCCTCACACACCACGTCCTCACAAAAAACCGTCCCCATGTCACAGACACAGACCCGACAGGGCTTCGGGTTCCATATCTGGCCGTCGGAGCGCACCTGGCCGCCCTCTGCGCAGGTATCTTTGTGAGGAAGAACACGCACCTGGCATCAGAATGCACATTCTCTGGTAAGATGGAATAGCTCTATGTTATCTTTGCAGAACAGCTTTTTTGGGGGGAGCTTTTTCCGTGTCATTTGTGGTTGGTGTAGCAGTTTTGCTCCCAAAAAACCCTCTTTTGGGATTTTCATAGGCGGCGGCAAATCATTTTAAAATATTTTTTGAGGAATTGGACACAACTTTCTTCTACTGTGATGTACTTGGTAGCCACAAACCATGCCTGGAAAGTGGATTGAAGTTTTTCTTTCTTTTCAACATGTGAAAGACATTGTGATGGTTTCTGTTTATTGTAAAGTTAACAAAGCGGCCTTGTTGTTCCCTAGTTTCAACAATGGACTATGTCTAAAAATGAGACATCAGACAGAGGAAAAAGTTAGGGATTTGGCCAAGAGATCCCTTCCAGTTCCTTACTTAAAGCAGCAAACATCTTTATCGCCCTGAAAAGAAAGAAAAAAAGCCCAAGCACTCAAATCAGCTGACAATATTTCTTCAATAATAGCTTTGTTTGTTTGAAATCCAAAGCAAATTCATTTAGGGTTAGATTAATTTAGGATAGATTAACATCTTCTTTTTGGGTTTTTTAGATGAGTTATTCCATCCTATTTTCTCCTAACGCAATGGAAGGTAGAATTTTAAAGCTCTGCTTTGGTCCCATTCAATTTAAAGCTGAAATGTCGAGGTGAAACCACTGGGTGTCGCACAAGAGCAGCGGGCTCATTTCAAATTAAACCTTGCTGACAAAAAAACAGTGAAACCTAATTTAGCAGGCCATTATCAGGTCTGACAGGACTTAGGCTAACAACAAGACACACTATGCAATGATACATTTTTCTCTATAAGCATCTGTGTTCACTATATCTTTTAAAAAGTAACCAAATATTAATTTACCTTGAAAGAGCTTATGTAAGTAATTTCCCATCTTAGAATCTATGTATCTATTGTAAAGCAGACACATACCTCCGTCCACATTCACAACTCTATGATTTGTTGGAACTTTTTTTTTGCGAGGGGGGGGACTGGACAAGTCATCAAAATTGAAATTTTCCATGTTTCCTTCTTTTTTAAAATTCCAGGACAGTAGTAAGAAATGTTTACCTTAACATACCAAAATGAATTTAAATAAAATATTTCACACTAAATGAACTGATAAGTTTCATGGAGCGGAAATTATTAGTGTCTCCTTCTTGTTTTCACCCATCTTGTACTGTTTCAAAACTGTTTAAAAAATGATTGTTATTAAAGGTCCCGTAAATAGAGCCAGTTGAGGTTTTGATTGGCACACGCAGCCCGGTGTGCTAAGCCGCCCTTCCAAACATCAAGTTCAAAGCGTTTATTACCAGTTTTATCGTCCGTGTTAGGGGCCTGTGGCGTGGCGGCGAGGCACACGGGGCAACACTCGCCCTCGGGGGCCTCGGTTGTCTCGCAGTCCCCTAGCTCCTCACACACCACCTCCTCACACACCACAGTTCCCCTGTCGCAAACACAGACTCGGCACGGCTCTGGGCTCCATATCTGATTGTTGGAGTAGGCTGTGCCGTTTTCTGTGCAGGTATCTTCGTGAGACAAAACAGCAATTATATGAGAAATGTAGGCGATTCCCCTTTCAGTGGGGTACATCATTACGGGGTTTTCAATTATATGTTTTTACAAGCCCTGAGGAAGTTCCTCATTTTGTTTGATTGTGCTTCTTAGAATAAGCACCGGCTAATCTCAGTCTCAATCTCACAGAGCCAATATGAAAAATGGTTAAAGTTAAGAATTGTTTTTTTGTGTGTCAAACTCCCACCATGTTTTTTTGAAGGGGAAGAGGTTAAAAACCTCAAAAAGGAAATTGGAAAAAAGCTTGTTTCTTCAATGGCAGTTGTTGGGCAGTTAATGCAAGATCCAAAAACAGCCCTCGCAGTTTATGCTACTCATGAGTCAACACTCACCCACCATCACCTTAACCACACAGCAAATACGGGCTACTACACCTAGGAACTGCCCAGGTCATCTAAAAAAAACCTGCCAAAGTTTCTAACTTTTGACCTACAAATTGTAAAAAAGAAACAATTATTCGCGGTACATCTTGCACAAATTGTTTGAATCAACTATAAGTGAATTAGAACTACGTGACAGCTGCCACACATATTTTGTTTGTTGCAATTAATTCTATCATCCTGTATTTATTTTTTAATTTTCCTACTTTTCCTTCAATACTCTTCCGAGATTTTGTTTTCTTCTCGGTATTCAATTGGACTGTAATTGCTCTTTTTGGACAAGTCCCGGAGAAAACTAAATTGTCCCCCAAGTGGGTCACCACTTCGACACTTTGGGGAACCAACTGGCCCCCAAACGCACCACAATACGTTTCACCAAACCGCCAGCTAAGATGTGTTGGCAATGCGTAACCCCTCAGCACACAAGAGGGTAGATATTCATTTAGCCTTCAGTATGAGAAACAAAAAGGAGCATGAAAAGACTTGTGTGGGGGACCCGTGGCATCAACACTACTGAAACCCCCCGTAATGACGTGAAGGTACCAGCTGAAAGGGGGGCGGAAGGGGGCTGTAAATTCCCCCCCGCGGCCGCGGACATTTTTGCGTTTACCTGCCGTAGTGTGTGTGGCCCGGGTCGGCGCCGCGGCCGAGCACGCGGGGCAACACTCGCCCTCGGGGGTCACCGCCACCGGGCAGTCACCGAGCTCCTCGCACACCTCGTCCTCACACACAACAACCCCCGAGTCGCACACGCAGGTTCGACACGGCTCGGGGCTCCAGATCTGATCGCTGGAGTAGACTGTCCCGTTTGCCGTGCAGCTGTCTGTGCAAGCAGAGCAGCAGTCCATGTTTCAGCCAGTGCTTTGAAACCCTAAAGGTTCACCTAACAGCACTTTTGCATCGAATAATGCCAACAAATGGGTAAAAGTAAATGCATTCTGAGCGTGCATCCCAATCATTTGCACTTCAGCTAAAAAGCTGTGAGGATGCTTCGTGACCATCAGTGCTGTGTGTTCACGGTCTGGACAGTAGTGGGGTGCTTTTGTCTAATGTATCCCTCAAACCAGTGTGTCTTCTTAATCCTGGTCCTTGGCCTAACTGACAGACACATACACACAGGAACATGTGCCCTTTGACCTTTTGCATGAGAACTCTTTATCTCTGTGAGGTGTAGTTGTACAATCGTGAACATTTATTCCTTTGTTCTCTTTTGAATGTTTTGGCCCATTTTAGCAAAATTTGAGCTAACATGCTACAAACCTACCTTAACATTTTTTATATTTTCTTGTTGTGACGTGTTTATAATGTTAGCCAATTTCTTTTATCTTTGACCAAAGGCATTTGGCAAGTTTCCAATCATAATTTCTCCCATGACCTGGAGACGGTGGGGTTTGTATCAGTGAACTTCCAACTGCAGGACAGGCCTTGTTGAATCTTTGTTGAACTTTAGCACTTCAGCTTATCCAGTGTTTAAGAAAAAAAAACTATAAAATATAGTTTTCCTGACAGACCCTTAGGGCAAATTGCTGCTAACAAGCAGGTCCCTTTCACATGCCAGTCAGTGACTAGACTGTGGTTGAACTTGACAGCTCTTGGCTGTGAATGTCTCAGAAAGTGTGTCTGTATGCAAGTGTGTAATCATCTGAACAACAAAAATGCCTGTCAGCCTTTTGACATTTACCAAGAAACAGATGAGGACTATAATTCGCCGTTAACGGGAGGCGAAACTGAACAGCATGTCATGTGGAGTCTCCGAGTTTCTAAAAACAGAAAGAGAACTTGTTGTTTTCCAACCCAACGAAAAGCCAAAGACATTATATACAGCTTTATTTACCTTTTTTCGTGGATTTGATAATGTAAGTCCCACAAATGTATCTTTAAAATATTATTAAAAGCCAATATGGCCACTTGGGAGTCCCACAAGCTTTGTGAGAGCGTTTTAATCCGGTCAGTTTAGTTACATCCCTAAGCACTCATTTTGTGGTGGAGCCTCTCCCCACGAAAGAGGACAGTGTTCAAAAGCAGCAGTTATTTAAGGGAAAACCGCAGCAGCTGCATTATATGTTGAGCTTGGGTACAGCTTGTGGTTTGACTTTATTTGGGAGAGCTTGCTGAGGTGCCACACCCGGAGAAACCTCCTGCCATGTAACCAGCTTCCCCCCCCCTAAGAGACAGTGACAAGAAGTCAAAGAGCTGCCAATCTCTGCCGGCTGCGGGGCTTTTGTGATCATCTGTTGATTTCATGGGGGAAAATTCAACCTCTAATTTGACCAAAAAACAAAATGTGAACTTTAAAAAAAAAAACAGGATTAGAAACCAAAAAAAGTTCACCCTAAAATTTGACATTTTTGTCGGTGGGCCATGGTCTGTTTGATTATAGCCTTTCACATATACCCAAATGGCCTTCTGTTCTTTTTGTCGTCTTTGTGAATCTGATAATTTAATCATGGCACAAGTATGTGTGGCATATATGAGAGATTGGATCCTTTCCGGGGTTTTTTTGTATGAATAACTTGTAGAAACAAAGAATTTCTCAGGTCACATAATTTTTTTAAACCTTTTTTAGCATCACAAATAAAGCAATATTAGGAAGAAATAGTCACATTCTAATTCATAGGGACTTAAAAAGTATAAAAATATCTCCCAAAAAAAAAGAAAAAAAAACTTTAGACAGGAGAATGAAACAAAAATATGTGGAAAGTCAAATACTCTTAAACTTGTTCTAGATCCACACCCATTTACAATAACATGTGCATAGAACTCCTAAATATGCTGTGATTTGATCATTTAGCAGATATCTCAGCCACAAGAATTTCTGTTGGCTTTTCAGCTTTTTCCCCCCTTTAAAGTTAAAGAGAACATTAGCTAAATGTAAAAACGGCAACAGGTCAGCTTATCCACAGAAATCTTTCCAAATGTTGGCATGCTGTTAACACACGAGTCTATTATGCCACAAGCTAAATTGCATCCTTGGGCGTAATAGCTGATTTCAGTGAATGAGTCCCTGACCTAAAGTTTAGCAAGCGGCAAGGCAATTTTCTCCAAGAGATATTTTCTCATTCGCCATTGACTGTATGTAGTCCAAAATGGACAAAAAGGCAGCTATATGTTTGTCATTCTATCCATCACCATCCCATGACATTTGAGAATGACTCATGACTGAGTCATGGGTTGTATTTGAGGAAGTGGACAAATTACCTTAGATGGTTTCTAATAAAGTGCTCCATCTAAAGTTATAGTCTACAGAGCGTCAGAATTTTTTGCCATGCCAAACCAAAAATATAGATAGTGATGCTGACAGGTGCTTTCAAAAGGACAGATTCCCACCCAAGATGATTCTTCTGAAAAAAAAAATCACCTTGGTGCAGCATACATTAACCCTCCCCTACGTCAAAAGAATTCATTTTCATTTCATAGGAGCTGAGTAATTGTTGCTTTCATAATGATATGGTCTTGTCATTAGAAGCATCACGCATGTGTATACATGTCACTCCTGTATGCAGTTTAAAAAAAGAAAAAGTTTATGGCTTCTCGTGACAGTATTTCCGACTGAAAAACTATGTTTTTATTTGTTTTTTTTAACCTTCAAAACCATTTATTTATATCTATGGAACCAGAGTGACAATTGGCTGATGAAAGTTGAGGGAAATGCCTTCTCTGCACCTGGATTGGAAAGATTTAGACACAGAAACAGCTGGTGCACCTCTGCAAGTGAACGTTTATACTCAGCCCCCTGAAAATGTGCGTCTCAATGGGAGGTGAAGTCGGATAAAAGCAAGGAACGCATAATTCATATCCAGAATCCTCTCTCTCTGGGTGTGTCTTGTCTGCCTTTGGCCCGAAGTCTGACCAAAATTAGTGGCCTGCTTTTGTCCATCCCTTCCACAAGGCCACATCATTATAGCCGTCACATCTAGAACCCCCTCATTCAGCCTCCACCTCGCACTGAAATAGACCAGCCAGCCCTGCTCTCTCCCTTTGGTGCGAACTGCTGCATGGAGAAGAGAAGGTATTTTTGACCCAGTATCACGTCCTTTGGGAGTGCATACTTTAGAAAACAAACAAGAAGAGTCACATCTTTCAGAAAACACCTTTTGGATTTTGTGACAATTTTCTTCAATGTCGGGCATTTAGACAGTGCCAAATCAGCCAAAACAGTTTTGAACACTTCCCAATCTTTCTCTAAAACACGCATTTACATTAAAAGGTTTATTCATGGATCTTCAAAATAAGATGTGGCTAATGTCTCTGATGCTGATTGTGAAAATGACCTCAACCTTTCCATGAAAAATAAATTGGCCATGAGGTCCAAGGGCCAGGAGGAGGAACAGTTAAATGGAACCTTAAGGGGGGCAATGTGAATTTGGACATAAAGAAACAATGAACAAACCTTGGATAAATGTTTAAAACGTGTCATTTTCAGGAAAACAAGAAAAATCGTCTTCTGTGTAGCACACGTGGAGAGGTTCAATTGTAATGCCAAATATAAAGACTCACAGGCATTCTGATTGGAGGAGTTAAGCCTTCCTACCAAAACATGTCAGGTATGGACACAGAAGGCCACTCACGGGCCAGACGGGGCAATCACAACTCACCGTTTTTCGTAACTTCTTGGCCGCTCACGGCGATGACCAGGGCCAAGGTGAGGGCCAGGCATTGAGTAATCCCAGAGCGAAACGAGGGGCCCATGTCTGCACGGGGGGGAACTGCAGCCTGCTTCCACCGGGCTGCTGCAAAAAGCAGACGGGGATATCGGAGAGAGTCCGGCCCCAGGCTAGAGCATCCAGGCTGACAAATCCAAATATCCCCGAGTGCAACAGGCTCCTGGATGAGAGATCACTGCGAACTGAAACAAGCTCTCCCCTCCAAGTCTCTCTCTTGACCTCCCTCCCTCCCCTCTGCTCTCTCGGCATTACTTATTTCATTCATTTGGAGGCCAGCCTCCTCCTCCTCCTCCTCCAGGCTCCTGGAATTGCCTTGAAAGACGCGGGTAATTACAGGCTGTGTCTAATTTGTTCTTTCAAGAGACTGATGGAAGACAGGATGGTATACATTTATGAAAGTTTGAAAAAACAAAAAAACACTTCAAAGCTGCGGTAGAGGATGTCTTTTAGGGACACTGTTGCTTTAAATGCACTATACATGCAGCTGATGGAGGATTTACAGTTCGCATCGTGACCTTTCACCTTTAACTCTCCGAGGTTCACCAACACCTCAAAACCTTTCAATGCTTCATCAGTGGATGAAATAAATCAAAACTGCCCCACTCCCCCTGCACACATCCTGTGAACTTTGAGAAAAGAAAGTTTCTGGCGTGATCTCTTGATTATCTTTTAATTTCAAGCACCTGCCCACTTCAGATTCTCCGCAGACTGTAGCTGACATCAGAACATCTTATGTTTCTCTGTCTTGACTGTTCACGAAAGGTGCCCCACACGAAACTATTATGTTGGTTTACTTCAAATAAAGAGGCTGAATATTTGAATGCCCTAAAATTGCTACATGGCATTTTCTCTTAAGGTGAATAGATGTCAGTGTGTGTCCATTCGACAATGAAAGAGTTCCCTGGCTGACCTACATCTGTGCACTCCAAACTTGAGCGGTCCACAGTGTGCATTGAACATCCATTTGATGTGTTTTCCAGGGTGAAGCTCTGCCAGGTCGGTATATCAAGCGGGCCATCATTCCCCCGAGGCGATGTCCCAGAGGCTGGACAACCAAACTAACACTGACTCGTCTCCCATAGTCGAACCTACCCCGCACACTGTCCCCCTCCTGTGAGCCCTTAACTGCAGCCGCACTGTCAAATCCTTCGCAAAGTAACATTTCTCTGAGTGGATGAGAACGGATCTTGTTTGTTTCCTTCGCCAAAGGAGTCAGGAAGTACTTCCTAAAGGTACTTCAAGAACAGCCTGATTTCTCATTAAGGAATCAGGGAGCCACCCAGAGACAGAGAGTCAAGCAGATGTTCCTGTTAGGCAGAAGCCAGCTTTTTTCGCGTGGTATTTTACAGTAAGATGTGCCAGTGGTCACAGAACATATCGTTTTGACTTGTGGTCAAGATGAAGTCTACATTCAGCTCCCTAGGCCATCGGGAAATTGTCAACTTCATAGCTTGTAATTGGTCAGAAAATATTCTGATACTAGCATAGACACAAACTTTTTTGGCTCCTCAGTAGTGTTATTGTTTTCCCATGTACACTTTATATCCTGTATGATCTAAAAACAACTTAAAACATCACACAAAAGCTGCTCAAACGTCTTGATCGGCCTTCATTACTTTCAAGTTTGCTACAGCGAGCCGATAGCTGCAGGTAAACCTTGTTTTTAGAATGTAAAACAATGACACAATCACACATCAGTGATAATTAACATACATGTATAGAAGTCTTTCCATAAATGTAACATTTCAGCATACATTTTTACAGTTTCAGCATCAAGAATAAGCATTGGAAAGTCTTTTGATAAGATGAAAGTGGTTTACCTGCTTCTATTGTGTCATGTAAGGCACAGTAGGTGGTGCTCAAAATCTTTCAATTCAACTTTTTTTTAAAAAAAAGTCATACTTTGAAGCAATTGCATTATCCTTTTTTTAAAAGCCAATAAGTAGAAATTAAAGGGATGGCAACATAAAAGAACTTAATATTTACCTCAGCTCCAGCGGTAAGAAAACTTCAAGACTTCAATCATACCGAAGTGGCTATTTTTGGCTGTTCAAACTAGATGGAGGAGTAACCACAAGGGCACTGCGAACAGAACACACACGCGCGCGCACACACTCGCGCACACACACTGTTAGTGGAGGCCACTACTCAGCAAGGTGGACAGTATCCAAACTAAACTAAAGAGAGATCTAAAAAAAACATGTCCAGACTGCTCTTCCGGCTGAAAGTCTGCAGCCAAAAGCAGATGTTTTGTGTTTTAGAGACCTAGGCGAACATGCTGATACTGTAGAGGACAAGAAGATTAACATTGTTAGCCCAAGTCCATAAAGAATCCTCACATTCCTGCGCTGCTTTGATGGAACATTACTACAGAGTCTTTAACAGCATATTTCTTTTACTATATATAAATGTACATGTCCAAAAAAATGACAAAAATATGCAGGGTGTCCCACATTGGCTCATCCTTTATGGTTGTCAACTGACAAGAAGCTCGTGGCCCACAGCCATCCGCCGGGGTAACACACACCGTGCCCCATATTCCCTTACACTTCATCTGCATTATTCATCATTTCACGAGTCGGACAGCACACTGTCCCCCTCCTGAGAACAGTTTTGGTCAGCATCTCGTTTGACGCCGATGCACCACCTGAAATGTTCGCTGCAGCTACGAAGAATTTCGTCAAACAGGTGGGAGACACGGGGAGGCTCGTCCCAGTTCCGAGCCTGAGCGAGGCCGACCGCTACCAGCCCCTCAGTCTGGTCACAAGGAAAAGGAAGAGGTATTTCTGGAAGAAGAACAAGTATGCCTCCACCCCGTTCTCACTGAAGGACATCCTTGTGGGGGAAAAGGAGATCACTGCAGGTAAGGTCGTGAATACAGAAAGATAAGACACAAAAAGTACACATCGTCATAGGACTTAAACTTCAGAATTGACTTTCCTTTTTCCAGGCGTTTCATCTTATCAGCTGCTCAACTACGAGGACAAGTCTGACTTGGCTCTAAACGGCCGATTGGGAAACCACATCATCAACGATGTGGGGTTCAACATCAGCGGCTCGGACTCTGTGGCCGTCAAAGCCTCCTTTGGCATCGTGACAAAACACGAACTTGAGGTGCCTACTTTACTGCGTGAACTCAACTCCAGGTATTTGCACTACAGCGTGGAGTCAAAGCACTCAAACCCATCATGATACAACACCTTATATCAAATTATTTGATTTATGCTTTGCAAACAAGTCCATTTTGAAAAGACATCCTATTGAAAAGAGGTATATGGCTCTATGTATCTTTTAAAGTATCTCGATATGTGTGACATTCTAAATACACGATTTAGTACATAAGTACATCCTCTCTTTTCTGTGAATTTGGACATAACAGAATCAACTTGTTTTGAAAATAGGCGAAAAAAACTGTTTGGTAACAATGGATTGCACATTATGCACAACCATGCTATTTTAGCGACAAACACCTCAAACCACGGAGCAAACACAGTGGTGAAGGGCTGATGAGCTGGGCTTGTTTTGCTGCCCGGAGGACTTAGGGGGGGTCATTCGGTCCACCGTGAACTCTGTATGCCGAAGTCTTCTGATGTCAAATGTGAGGCCATCTGTCTGCCAGCTCAAGCTCGACTGAAACTGCGTCCCCAAAACCGCTTCTCGTGTGAGTGACTGAAAAGAAAATAATCAAATCGTTGCAAAAGTTAAAGCAGTATGGTGTGACCTTGATTTAACACGATGAAAAAAACGATGAGTCCAAGTTATTGCTTCTGAGGAAGGTTTTGTGGGCCTGATGGTCTGATGATCTTTGCTTTCACCCAATGAAACATTCACAATGAGCTGGCGCCTGACCTAGACTGAATCTTAGTGACAAAGGGAATGCGAAAGCAGGGTTTCTCAATGAGGATGAGTAAACGATCATGTCGTTCCACACTGACTACATCCATAGATCAGAGGGCAGGAGAGAAAACACAGTACATGCGGTCAATCTCATTCTGCCTTCCAGGAAAGTGGACCTCGATCACTGCCTGGTTCGTCAGACCAAAGACAGCGGCCGCACCGTCCTCTGCGTGGTGGTGGAGAGTATCCGGACCACACGGCAGTGCTCGCTGACCGTCCACGCGGGCATGCGTGGGACAACCATGAGGGTAAGAATCTCCAAGTTGGGTCGAATTGAGGCTTTTGCTCAGCTGAACTTGGAAATATTTATACATTATTAGGTATAAAAGTATGTGTATAGCTGCTTTTATTTGAAATCTAAGCAACATAGCACTGAATTACGCAAGTTTTTTAGTGTTTTTTCAACCAGAGATTGGAAAGTTAGAAACAGAAAAGACAGAAAAAAAGCTTATGAGACTGCGTATTTCCGGCTATAATGAGTATCTCTCTAATGAAAAGATTAGTCACTCAGCTCTTCTCTTCTGCAGTTTCAGATCGACGACGGTCGAAATCCCAGGGGTCGAGACAAAGCCATTGTGATTCCAGCTCACACCACCATCGCCTTCAGCATCTGCGAGCTGTACGTGCGACTGGATGGCCGACTTGGTAGGAGGACCATCCTGGACATCCAATGTTTCTGTGTGGGCGGCAGGTTCTGAAGGGTCTTTAAAAACTTCCTTTTCATAACCAGGTGGCATTTTTTAAGATTCATCTTCTTGTTTTGTGGTTCTTTTGGGGGTTTTTTTTGGCATCATCGCCTCAGGGAAACAAACATGACTAATTGAACTGGGTCGACTTGTAGGGTTTTGACAGGGAAGGTGGTGACTATGACGATGAAACTGTTCCCAAGGCCTGTTGTGTCTTTGTTTTTCTTCAAGACATATGCGTTGCTCCCGAGTCTCAGGGGGGATTTGAGCGGGAGCAGATCGGGGAGCAGCTGGGCGGTATGATCGGCCGCTTCTCTGTGGGTCGCCTGCGTCGCTTCCTGTCCGGCATCATCTACGGGAACCCCTTTAGAGCAGGTACCAAGCGTTGAACCTTTAAACCGACACCTACGTGCTCCCGCCTGCTTGACCTGAACTAACCGTTGTGCAGATGACCGGACGTTCGAGCAGCTCACCCACTCTGACACCTACATGGACGACGTGGCCACCGACTACTACGAGAAGGCCGCCAGCATGACGGACGTGTCCACGGCCTACCTGAGGGAGAGCTCCCACACGCGGGTCAACCTGCTGAAACACAACATCCCCAAGGGGCCGTGCGCTCTGTGCGGGATGGGAAGCCAGCGGCGGGAAACCGTCTACGGCTGCCTGGAGTGCAGCACCGGGGGTCAGAAATACGTCCGGTTGCACGTGGTGCCATGTTTCGACCTCTGGCACAAAACCCTGAGATGATGAGTTGGCGCTTTTTTTGTGTTTCGAGCTGTGAGGAGAGACTTGTTACGAATGCTGTGATGGAAACTGGAGCGATGGCATCGGCCCCGGACTGCGGCCAACTTGTCCCAGAAAAAGATGTAACGTGAACCTGCCTTAGGCTGGGGTGATATCGCACACAGTTTACCTTTGGCAGCAACCCATTTTCACACGTGTGCCCTTTGTGCTGTGGCTGCCGGCACATGAATTATTCAGCGATGGATCGTGTGAAGGCCAGCAAGGAAACAAGGAGGAGTGACGTGCTTGTTTAGCTTTGTTCCAACTGTGTCAAGGGAAAAAAAGGCTTTGTTTCCTCTGTGTCAGACTTGAAATTATCTTTATTTGTCAAAGGTGTTAAGATTAAATCTCTACAACTACTATTAAATGACCAAAATAAACTTTGGAGACTTAAAATATATTTTCACTGCTACTTAATTGCACCAACATTAATTAGATGGCTAGAAAAACTAAAATAAAATCCCAAAAGATATGAGAGACAGAAAGACATAATGGTTTTAGACAAATACAAAAATAATAATCTTGAAGGTTTCACAGTTAGTTTAACTAAAGATCAAACTGGTATTTTTTTATCCTTATCTTTCTTTCCGATGGCTATTTATTAAATAAACTGTTCACCAGCGAAATACTGTGTATTTTTTCCTCAATAAAGTTTTACTCTCTGTGCTCGAACGCCTCCCTGCCGCTAGAGGGCGATATGGTAGAACTTTTAAGCCGACTCAAACCGGAAGTGTCGATTGTCGACACAAACCGGAAGTGTCGAGTGTCAACAAAACGCACTGACATGTGGTGGATAAAACGTGTGAAGCATGTCCCAGTTATAAACAGGGGTTTTTAAAGTATTAAAACGGAGTTTCATGCGTTTCACTGAGGATTAATTGGGAAAATGAAGTTCGCTTATCGGGTAAGTACATCACAGTTGTCGACCCGGGTACTGTGTGTAACCAACAAGTTACACATACGTGTAACTGGATTCTGAAACGTCTTTTTTCACGTTGAATAGTATTCAGTTAAACACATTAGCTCCCACTGTTCCTCGGCGTAGGTTTTGAAAATATTTTTAAATCGAGTAGTGACTGCTGGTACTTCGTTGGAACCTCGTAACCCGTCTATCTGCACACGTCTTTCTGCATTTGTGCTTGAAACTAAGGCCACACTTTTCTTTAGTTTTCCAATTTGCTTGGAGCAGTTTACCGCCAGGGAAACTTGAACTTCTCCAAAGATGGCAACGCCGTCATCAGTCCTGTTGGAAACCGAATCTCCATCTTTGACTTGAAAAAGTAAGTTCGTTTTGTTTTGATGTTTTTCTTTCTGGCGGTTGCATTTTTAAGTAAACAATAATAAAGAATAAAATATCTTCTTATTCACACGCAGCAACACATCTGAGACTCTACCTGTCTCCACCACGAAGAATATAACCTGTGTGGGGCTCTCTCCTGATGCCAGTTTGGCAGTTGTGGTGGATGAAGGTACGAGGATTCCCTTTACTGGCTGTACTACAACAAAAAAACAAAAAACAAAGAACAACAACTAAGTGTTTGTTTATAACAGATGGTGCAGCGTTGCTGGTCAGTCTCATCACTCGAGCTGTCCTCCATCACTTCCACTTCCACAAGCCTGTCAGCAGCATCCGATTCTCCCCCGATGGCAGGTAAGGAAGTGGATCTAGAAAAACACACCTGCTGTACTGTTTGTTTATATGTCCATCTCCTCATTGTAACCATGAGCTTGAACTTTGGCCATCAGCTGAGTTAGTTTTGTTTTGTTTTTTTCCTCAGGAAGTTTATAGTCACAAAGGAGAACGTGGCCCTGATGTACCACGCTCCCGGGAAGCGGCGGGAGTTTAACGCCTTCGTTTTGGACAAGAGCTACTACGGCCCGTACGACGAAACAACTTGCATCGACTGGACAGACGACTCCAAGTGAGTACCGGCCAGCAAGGACGCGGCGCTGACCACCGAGAGGCACCCCGTAAAGCTCTGTGGTGTTTCGCTTCAGGTGTTTCGTGGTGGGGAGCAAAGACATGTCGACGTGGGTGTTCGGAGCGGAGCGCTGGGCCAACCTCATTTACTACTCCCTTGGTGGACACAAGGACGTCATTGTGGGCAGTTTCTTTGAGAAGGATAGTCTCGATGTACGTCGGCCCTTGCCCTCTTTTACTTTGTGAATTTTGTGCCTTTTTCTTTTTTGTCTCACACTCAAAATTTGAATTTACACCTGGAAGATGAGTAAAGAATTTTCTTTTTCATACTACTCTATAATATAGGTGTAATAAAGACAGTTTTTGTGCTAATGCAATTTCAAATAATTGAAGTTTCTATTTACACAAGCTAACCTGGTTAACATAATTTGACACTGTTAGCGTTTCATTGCGTCATGTGATGTAAAGTACTTCTATTTTTGTTTGGACAACAATTTTTTATTACAGTTTGGTGTATTTGTGTGAGCGTTTTTTCTTTTTTTCTTTGTGGACTTCAGCTCACATTTTAGAACATGCAAGCTAACTCCTAAGATAGTCTTTCTTTGAGGATAGTTTAGATTTATGTTAACTTGGACCCTAATCCGTTGGATTTATTTTCTTTTTGTCACAATCAAAAAGAAAATGTCATTTTTCGGTGATTTATCCGTCCTTTGTGGCTTCATTCAGCTCTACACAGTGAGCCAGGATGGGACTTTATGTGTCTGGGAGAGCGATACCGAACTGGATGGCCTTGTTCTGAAGAAGAGCAAGGAGAAACCAAAGATTCCGAGTCAAGAAGAGGAAGAGGAGGCTGATGAGGGCCGGGTGGAGGGAGATGAAGGAGAGGTGATTAGAGGAAAACATGAAAATCCCAAAGACAAGAACCAGACAAAGAATGTTCGATATAAACTGATGAGCAAGTAAGATTCCTGTTTTATTTATTTTTTTATTCAATATATAATCGCCCTGAATTCAGTTCATCTGAAAGTCATTTTAGCACGGCACGATAAAGGCGTTTTTGTTTGTTTGTGCAGACACTTTTTCAACAAAGAAGGCGACTTCAACAACCTGACGGCTGCTGCGTATCACAAACCGACTCACATCCTGGTCACGGGCTTTGCCTCTGGGGTATTCCACCTGCACGAGCTCCCAGAGTTTAACCTCATACACTCCCTCAGGTGAGAGCCGGGTTGGATTTATTGTGCTGTACTTTAACTAAACGGAGTATTAAGAAAGAGCTCAGGTGTCTGTTTTCAATATTGTTCCACACAGCATTTCAGACCAGAGAATTGCATCGGTGGCTTTGAACAGCTCTGGAGACTGGATTGCCCTCGGGTGCTCCCGTAAGTGTCGCTCTACTTTATTTTTTTAAAATAATGTAGGTTTTCCGTCTTTGTTTGAAAGGAAGTTGAAATATACAAGCGTTGACTTTTTCAGGGATGGGTCAGCTACTGGTGTGGGAGTGGCAGAGCGAGTCGTACGTCTTCAAGCAGCAGGGACACTTCAACAACATGGCCGCGCTGGCCTACTCCCCGGACGGGCAGCACATCGTAACGGGAGGCGACGACGGCAAAGTGAGTCCCCCACCGCAGTCCGAGCGGCCATAAAAACTGCGTAAAGTCACAATCCGATTAGACTCTTCGGCTGAAAGCAATCCGCCAAAAAGTAGCCAACCAAAATCGAGCCTTTTTAAAAAAAAAATTCCCCTTTCCGTCATTTGCTGCACGCCTGCGGTCCGTTAGGTCAAGGTTTGGAACGCCAACAGCGGCCTCTGCTTCGTCACCTTCACCGAGCACACCAGCAGCATCACCAACGTCACCTTCACCTCCAGCGGCTTCGTCATCGTCAGCGCTTCGCTGGACGGCACGGTCCGAGCCTACGACCTGCACAGGTGACCTGGGGGAGGACGCCGCCAGCCGAGGGGGCAAATCGTTACCGGGGGGGAGGAGGAGGGGCGGTTTTTGTTCAAAGCCCATGGCGTCTGCGATCGCAGGTACCGAAACTTCCGCACCTTCACGTCGCCGCGGCCGGCGCAGTTCTCCTCCCTGGCCGTAGACGTCAGCGGGGAGCTGGTGAGCGCGGGGGCTCAGGACTCCTTCGAGATCTTCCTCTGGTCCATGCAGACGGGCAGGCTGCTGGAGGTGGGTGGGCCGCAGACGAGATGTTAAGCACGCGTCGCTTCCGGCTGACGCGCAGGCCTAACATGACGCCGCTGTCGAGCAGGTCCTGGCGGGGCACGAGGGTCCAGTCAGCTGCCTGTGCTTCAGCCCGGTGCAGTCCGTTCTGGCCAGCGCCTCGTGGGACCGCACCGTCCGGCTGTGGGACATGTTGGACAGCTGGCAGGTTAAGGAGACGCTTCCCCTCACATCCGATGGTAAAAAAAAACGTCATCTCTGGCGAGATTTTTTTTCCTAGTTAAAAAATGGTGTTCATTTTGAGAGTCTTATGTTGGATCCGTTGGAGAATGGTTACTCACTCTGCAAGGGTTTGTTCTCCAGGCTTGTCGGTGACGTATCGCCCGGACGGTCAGGAGCTGGCCGTGGCCACCCTGAACGGGGAGATCTCCTTCTGGAACCCGAGCACGGCCACGCAAACGGGCTCGGTGGCGGGACGTCACGACCTGGAGACCGGCCGCAAAGAGACCGATAAAATCACGGCCAAGCAGTTGGCCAAGGGCAAGTGAGTCTGCCGCCCGCAACCAACCCCCCCCCCCCCCCCCCCCCCCCCCCTCCCCCCCCAGTTTCCCTTTCTGGTGACTGAGTGTGGTTTGTGGGGACCGAACAGGTCGTTCACCTCGCTGTGCTACTCGGCCGACGGGGAGTCCGTTCTGGCGGGAGGCCAGTCGAAGTTCGTCTGCATCTACAACGTCAAGGAGACCATGCTGGTGAAGAAGTTCGAGGTCTCCTGCAACTTGTCATTCGACGCCATGGAGGTAATGCACTGAGTGCAACCGCTTCGGATTGTCAAAGCTATCTCTTTGAGGATGTATCTGATATGTTGCCTGCGCTATTAGCATGGATTGAATCTAGAAATCATTTGCAGGAGTTCCTGGACAGGCGGAAAATGACAGAGTTCGGCAGCCTGGCTCTGGTGGACGAGGGGGCCGGAGACGGTGACGGGGTCAACATCAGCCTGCCAGGAGTCAGGAAAGGTGTGACACAGTCCCACAACGCATCGGCCCAAATCATGTTTTTAGTTTGCTGCACATATTTTGAACATGTTCCAGGTTTCCTCAACACATGTGGATTTTTTCATAGTCAACATAAGTGATAAATTGCTATATTTTTTTCTGAAGTAAGAATGACTTGACATTACTTTCTAAAAAGCCATTTGAAAAAAAAAGAAAAGAGAAAAAAAAGCTGTTCTGGTTTTGAGACGTTTTTGCTGAATTAGGTTCTGTCCCTCGTGTATGCCCTCGTCAGCTTCCCTACTCTTCAATGCTTTTGCTCAATTTCGATGGTCGTTTGTCTTCTTTGTGTCCTTGAAGGTGACATGAGTTCCCGTCACTTCAAGCCAGAGATCAGAGTCAGCTCACTGCGGTTCTCCCCAACCGGTGGGTAATGGGCCCAAACGGGCTTGATTACAGGTTATGAAGGCGTATTAAAAAATTTTTAAAAAATGCAAAGATTTAAAATGATCTTTTTCCCCGGGCAGGCCGCAGCTGGGCGGCCACTACCACCGAAGGGCTGCTGGTCTACTCCCTGGACGGCACTCTGGTTTTCGACCCCTACGACTTGGACCTGGACGTGACCCCGGCAAACATCCGCAAGCAGCTCCGCCTCCAGGAGTGGACGTCGGCCATCGTCATGGCGTTCAGGCTCAACGAGCAAGCCCTGAAGCAGGAAGTGCTGGAGACGGTGCCGCACGAGCAGAGTGGGTGAATTCTCCTCCAGTTAATCCGCCTTTGAATCCACACGAGGCCTCATTCGATCCCGCCTCTGTGTTTGTGCCTCAGTCCCGGTGGTTTGCGGCTCCCTGCCCGACATCTACGTGGAGAAGCTGCTGGGCTTCGTGGCCACATGCTTGGAGAAATCGGCACACCTGCAGTTCTACATGAAGTGGGCTGAGACCCTGCTCATGTTGCACGGACAGAAATTGAAGAACAGGTACGTTAAGTTAAGATTTTCATTCCGCCAACAAGGTTCTTTCTTATTTTATGGCACTTTGATTTCGCTTTCACCTCAAACTTATTCTCCCTGTCCTGCAGGTCAGGCTCCATCCTGCCCACACTGCAGGCCCTGCAGAAGAGCATCCAGAGACACTTTGAGAGTCTGTCCAAACTGTAAGAGTCAACAGCATAAAAATAACTTGAAATGAAATTGAGTGTCTGACATGAAGCTCAGTCCTGTTTTTGTTTTTTTGTGTGACTTCTATACATAGCTGTGACTTCAACATGTACAACATTCGCTACGCTGTGGCCCTTTCGAAGCAGAAGGCCATAAAGAGACCGGCTGAGGGGGAAGAGGAGATGGAGGACGAGGAGCAGTCTGAAGAAATGAGCGAGGCATCTTTGGAGGATGCGGACATGATACTGTCATGATGATACTGCAGATAGGCAACTTCCTGTATTTTGATATTATGTTGTTATGGTTTTTTAAATAAATTCCTTAAATGAATTCTTTTTGGTTTAAAGTCGAATGTTTACAGTGGAAGGGACACCTGTTATGTGGGCCCTCCGTAGGCTGGACCGCCTCACTTCAACTCGGCAGTAGCGTTTTCTTCAACGGACACGCCTTCTTGCTGCCCCTGAATATGAACTACAGCCTCAATCTTGTGCGCCTCTACACGTTGTTTTATGGCAATTCCTGCGTAGGCGTCAACAAGAACTTGTGGTGCTTTCAGGGTATTTTTGTAAAAACACAACTCATTGAAATATCCACAAGTGAAGATTAAACTTGTTTTGTCCTTTTCTTCTTTGTCTCGTTAATTTACACATATCGTTGAATCATTTTTTAGATCATTTAATAACTGTATGCACTGTACTTTCACATGGTTATGCAATTCAGTGCTACATTAGCGTCCCTAAAACTTACATGTTCACTTTTCTACAAACTTATCTTACGAGTCCAGTCACTATGAAGACATTTTATTTAAATTTACGTTAGCGCATTAGGCACAGACGGTGCCGTAGGTTTTCATTAGTGTTTATTTTAGTTATGCAATTGATCTCGTTCAGTGTATATTTGTGAAAAAAGCTCCTTTTTATGTACAATTTTCCATCAAGTGTCAAATGACATTTTCAGTTTGAACTTTTTTCGTCTTTCACTTTTCACATCTTTGTGATCTAATTAAGTTTGACTTGAAGTTTTTAAAATTAGCAAACAGTGTAGTCGGGTTTATATAATGTGAAATATAATATTCCTTTTTGTCTTCCTCAGTACTCGGTATTCCTGTTGTTGGAAGGAATGTAAATTAGTATTTTAGATCCATTTTATCGTCGCTAATATAACTTGTGTAAGTGAGCAACGACATGTCCTGAATGCACCATGAATCCACGTTGCCGCTAAGCGGACCGGCCGTATATGCGTGTATAGAGGCGCACTGAATTTCTCTGAGCGTCGTGAGCCAGAAGAGAGGATGCGGTGACCGCAGGCCAAAATGAGAGAAACTAAGAACATGTCTGAATCCCCGTCTCAAGCGGGAAAGGAAATACCAGCGAAAAAGCAAAAACTCAGCAGCGACGAGAATAGCAACCCAGATCTTTCAGGAGACGAGAATGTAAGCAGCTTGATTGTGATGCCCCACGAAAACAAGACCCTTTTGGCGGGTTAGCTTCGTGCTAAATGGTGCCGACCAGCTACAAAGCTTAGCTAGCATCTTTGTCCGTCCACACCGGCTCAGCCCGGCTAACAACAGCTGCTGGTGTTGTGGTGTTGACCACCAACCGGTTTGTTATCGTTGGGTTATGAAGAGCATAGAGGATATAGCTTTATTTGAGCAGCACGCGGTCAAATGCTGTCATTCACGTGCAGACTAGTTGTGGAAGGTGCAAACCAAGTGGGGCTGTTGGGGAGTGTTTTTTGTCCCAATTTGAACCTTGAATTGTAGCAGTGGTGAACCCAAAATGAGGTATCGTCAAAGTGGGTTGAACTTAGGTGCTGTTTACGGCGTGACTACTCGGAGGTTACCTGTTGTTACTCGATACGGAACCTTCCTCCGAGCCATTTTTGTTCCCGGCGAACGCTGCACGCCCCAAAGGAAGGAGCAAACTACCAGTAATCAGGTGTTCGCTATAGTGGTTGAAAATAGCCCATTGTAAGTTATACGGTCGTAATTGCATTTGATGCACAGAAATTATGTAAGAGAATAGGAGTTCATTTGGTCCCCAAGCACCAAATGACAAAGATGCTCTTAAAGGAGCATTACACCAGACTAAAACAACCACCATAACTGGTTGTCATGGTCTGCTAAATGTCTATCTAAATAGATACAGCTTACAAAATTCATACTGTAGGCTCAGAGCAACTTTTTTGAAACACTGATTATGTTGACAATGTAGCAGATCTTACCTGTGGGGGTTGCTCTGGGATCAACACTTTTTTTTTCTCTTTCCATGTACTGTTTAAGTACTCATAGATGAATGCTGTCAACCTGTCATTGCTGCATTAATGTATTTTACCAGCTGTCATTCAAGCAGTTTCCGTATTTAATGTCAGTTTAAAAAAAAAAAACTTTTATCCATGGTGACCGACTGATTACAGGACGATGCGGTCAGTGTGGAGAGCGGGACCAACGCAGAGCGCCCGGACACGCCCACCAACACTGCCAACGCCCCGGGCAGGAAAAGCTGGGGAAAGGGCAAATGGAAGTCCAAGAAGTGCAGATATTCTTTTAAATGTGTGAACAGTCTGAGGGTAAGTCACAGATGCACGCTTGGCCCCCACCACCATGGCCTCGTTTTACTCGTATAACAGGAGTCGCTGATAAAGCCTGTGAATGTGTCCTAGGAGGACCACGGCCAGCCGCTCTTTGGAGTCCAGTTTAACTGGCACAGCAAGGAGGGCGACCCGCTGGTGTTCGCCACGGTCGGCAGCAACAGGGTAAGCCGCTATTGGACTCTAAATTCAGAAAAACAGGACCCTCCCGAGGCAGCGGGAGCTTCCATTCTTATTGCGGGGTGGTATTTTTGGAATAAATCTGCTTCACGCACCGTAACATAACCCGGAAACACAAAAATCTCTGTTTCAGTGTGCTTGTTTACAAATGTATAAAGAAAGACTAACTGTGTTTTTCTCTCACCAGGTAACTCTTTACGAGTGTCACTCTCAGGGAGAAATCAGACTCCTGCAGTCTTACGTGGATGCAGACGTATCCTTCCACCTTCTTTAGAATATTTCTTTCCTGCAGAATTTACACACTTCCAGTCATTTCACTGAGTTATGCAAAATAAAAACAGTTTTTGGTTCCTTTATAAGTTAATGTTGAGGGAATATTTGGTGTTCGTAAGTTAGGTTTTCGGTTCGGGGGAGACTCTTGACAATTCTCCTTGACCGAAATGTGCCCGCAAAAAAAGGCGGACGAGAACTTCTACACATGCGCCTGGACCTACGACACCAGCACCAGCCACCCGCTGCTGGCGGTGGCCGGATCCCGCGGCATCATCCGGGTCATCAACCACATCACGATGCAGTGCATCAAGGTAACGCCCACCACCCCAGCCAGAGTACACAGTTTTAGAGCTCCGCTGGATAAAATCTCATCGGCTCTCTGTTGAAACCGCAGCACTACGTGGGCCACGGGAATGCCATCAACGAGCTCAAGTTCCACCCGAGGGATCCAAACCTCCTCCTGTCCGTCAGCAAAGGTGAGACCACGACAGGGGACCGCAAACGCCAGAGGCTAAGACGTTGCCTGGAGTGCAGAAAGAGGGTCCGAACCGCACGGTGACGCAGTTTTCCTGTCCTGTCTCCTGCCAGACCACGCCCTGCGGCTGTGGAACATAAAGACGGACACGCTGGTGGCCATATTCGGGGGCGTGGAGGGCCACCGGGACGAGGTCCTGAGCGCCGTAAGTGTGACCGCCTCGTTTCCTGTCCCTCCGATTGTCAGCGAAGCTGTCGCCAATGTTGTCAGGCAAACAGAATCAGAAGTGGGAGAATCAGCTTATTTAGCCCCGTTTTTTATTTTATTTTTTGTTTTTTTATGATCTCATGCATGTGTCAAAAGTATTTTTCAAATTTAACACTCAAAGTATTCTCCACACAAACCACTGCAACATTTTTTGTTTTTGTTTTTTTCCATACTCTAAAAGCAAATGGAGTTTTGTTTTAACCTGCAGAAAATTGTCCGCAGGTTCCAAATATTAAAAGATGGCCCAAAAGCACTCATACACAGAGGACTCATGTTCTGTCCCCTCTCTATGGGTAAAATAAGCATCTCCAATGTACAGGTTTAGCTAAATGTTAGAGAAAGAAGCTGCAAGGCTTTCCGGCTGTTTTCCTTTTTGCTGCAGTAAGTATTTCAACTCAGTGGGTTCTAAACTCAGATTGCAAGCACGGATACGGCCCGAGGCAAATGCAGGACTAAAAGAAGACGAGTGTGGCAGCAGAAATGAGACCTCAAAACCAGTATGTCGGGTCAAAATAGAGATTCTCTGTTTGGATTTTCTTGGCAAATCATTAAATTGGAAACCTGGCATCCGGACGAGCTCTTAACATGTCCCCCCCCTCCAGGATTTCGACCTTCTTGGTGAAAAGATCATGTCTTGTGGGATGGACCACTCGTTGAAGCTCTGGAGAATCAATTCAGAGAGGATGCAGAAAGCCATCCGTGGGTCGTACGAGTACAACCCCTCAAAGACGAACAGGTGGGGCGCCCGACAGTCCCCCCCCCCTGTCCTTTCAGTGGTGTCACATAGGTTTGCAAACACCCGATTAATCATTTTGTTTCGCGACATTGTGTTTTTCAGGCCTTTCGTCTCTCAGAAAATCCACTTCCCCGACTTCTCGACTCGGGACATCCACAGGAACTACGTGGACTGCGTGCGGTGGCTCGGGGATCTCATCCTCTCCAAGGCAAGTGGATGGTTTAAAAAAAGTCTCGCCGTAGCAAAAATTCCCCCGGAGCGGTTGTGAGTAAAAAAAAAAAGTGTGGCTGGTTTTCGTCATGGCAGTCCTGCGAAAACGCCATCGTCTGCTGGAAGCCGGGGAAGATGGAGGACGACATCGACCACATAAAGCCCAACGAGTCCAACGTGACCATCCTGGGCCGCTTTAACTACAGCCAGTGCGACATCTGGTACATGCGCTTCTCCATGGACTTCTGGCAGAAGGTATGAAGCCTAACCCCCCCCTGTTTGCGTGAAGTCTGTTCTTCTTTTTTTTTACACTCCCTATCTTCCGTGGTCGACAGATGCTGGCGCTGGGAAACCAGGTGGGGAAGCTCTACGTGTGGGACCTTGAAGTGGAAGACCCTCACAAGGCAAAGTGAGTTCCAGACCCCCCCCCATGTAGAACATTCCCTCCCAAAGCTTGTAAAACCTCCCCTTGCATTGTTTCAGCCAATTACCCATAACCCTTGACGATAGTGGCGTTTTTTGTAATGACGTGACAGAAATTGGTTCCACACAAAAGAGATTACCTTCACTTTTCATCTGGGTTTGCCATTATTAGTCCATTAGAACCTGATAATGTTTGTAAACTCCCTAAACTGTAACTATTTACTCCTGACTGGTTCTGAACAACATCAAATTGCATTACGCACATTCTCTGGTCCTAAAGTGGTGTGGCGTGAGGTATACAGAGTTTATGAATTTGCTGTGGAGCGCCACAGCTCAAATTTAATCCTTGAGGGATGTTTGAGGTTTTTATTGGACTTTTAACGGCGACTATTTTGCTTCCTCAACTCAAAAATGAGAAGAAAGACAAAGCAAATGTCTGTGGGGGACTCAAAAGTTAGATCTTATGGCAGTAATGTTATTAGGGATGGAAGCGACCAGATATTGAATATCATCATTTCGAACTTATTATGATATCATTCAATATTATTCCTTCAAGTGGTGTTTGTCACAATTCCATCTGTTTGTTTGGTCTCAGGTGCACCACGCTGACGCTCCCCAAATGCACGTCGGCCATCCGCCAGACCAGCTTCAGCCGGGACAGCAGCATCCTGATAGCCGTGTGCGACGACGCCTCCATCTGGCGCTGGGACCGCCAGCGCTGAGCCCAGAGCCGCGGGGATCCCGTCATCACCGTTTCGTTTGTTTGTTTTTACAGACACGCCACCAAAAAAAAGAGGAAAAAAAAAAATCTGTGTGAACATACAGTTTCACTTTTATGTGGTCTTTAAGGTTTTTTTTGTTTGTTTGTTTTTTTTTTTTTTAAAGAAAGTGTTGTATTCCGATGAAAATAAAACAGATTTTATATCCAGCGGACGTACATTACGTGCAGAGAATAACTCATGGTTTTTAGGTTGCGTGCCTTCCTGTTTCCTATGCAGTCTCATTGTTTGAAGTTACACCAGAGACGGGAATCGCATGGATGAAAGAGGTCGGTGTCACGCGTTCAAGAAATACATCCAACTTTTATTTCTTGTTTTGTTTTCTGGGCTGGATTTTTATAGTAGTTTCTATGGACGTATCCCTCTTTTTTGACTGTGCTCATGGGTTGCTTTGATGCCCGTTTCTCCAGAAAACCCCTCTCAGCTGTTGCATAGTTTCTCAATCTCTCCTTTGAAATTTTGGGGCTTTTACAGATTCCAGTCAGAGGTTTTTTTTTGTAAATATCCACTTGAGTCACCTAATTTTGTTTTTCTAAATATAAAATTGACTTCAATTTTATGCTGTCTTTTATTTTATACAACTTAAAACAGACTTCCAATTTTTTTCCCTTTTCATTTAAAATCCCAAAAGTAAGGCAAGAAATAGGAGTCTGTGTTGATGTACCAAGTTTATGAGAACTTGAATAAAACTTAGTTTTCTAAAAGTTGTTTTTTTCTTTTCTTTTTTTCTTGATAATTATCAACAACGATTCACTCTTACTGGTCAAACATGCTGAAGTCATGGATTGTTAAGACTTTGTCCACCTTGCCCCCCCCCCTCCCCTAAAATATGACGTTACACCGGCGCGCGCTCTTATCTCCCGAACGAGCGTTCTCCTCCCGCGTGGACTTTCGCACCCCCGGGGCTTTGACTTGCGGAGATAAGCCCGGCGCAGCAGCAATGTTTTCGCCCAAGTCGCCCAGAAACCCGTCCAGGAACGAGCCCCGGCCACCGCCGCCGGCGGCCGCCTCCGGGGAGCACATCTCCATGGTGGAATGCGGCTGTCGGCCGGAATGCACCTGTGGCGTCCCCCCCGCGCGCTGCGTCGCGAGGCTCTGCTCCGCCGGAGCCACGGTAGGCCGAAGCGGGAAAGCTGCCCGGGTTGTCCCACTCGCGAATAATTTGAGCCGAGGGGAATTTGTGAGGGGGTAGTGGTCCACCCCCCACCTCAGCATTAGTTCTTTTGAGACAAACGTAAAAATAAGAAGAAAAAATCATCATCATTATCCAATCTAAACGTTGAGAACCCCCCTCGTACTTTAAAAGTAGTTTCTCCTTGTAACAAGTGTGCGAGACACTTTTGGAAGGCTTTATGGACAAGAATAATTTATTCTCAATACCAGTTTTGTCTTTGTATCACTTATGGACATGTGTAGTTAGATAATTCTACCACTTCTAGGGAAGATAAATGTACACTTAAAAGCTGGACATGAAAATGAATATGAGGGAGATAATGAGGGAGATAAGCTGGAGGTTTAAAGGCTGGATTTCCTTCCAAAAGTTTGAAGGATTACAGTCAGAAGTTGAGACTAAATTGAGATAAGTGGCACTTAGCTTTTCTCATCAGAGGTGTGCGTTTATTTTTCTAATTTTCCTGAATGTAGATTGATGGGATTCGGTCATCTGGCTGGCTAACCATGACTTGAAATAAATCTTAAAGGCGAAGATAACTCTGCTTTACTTTACATTTGTGAGTAGGGTTGGCCACACGAATAATATTTGGATTGAATATGTCTGGAATGGTGCTATGAACAGCTAGATTCCAACAGGCGGAGGGTAACCTTTATATTCTTGTTTAATCAAATAGATATTTGATTTATTTTTTTGTCATCAGAATTTTGGACCATCCATATTTGATTAATCCCGTAACATATCAGGCCTTTTTTAGCCACATGTTAATATGTATTAGGGATATGAAATGAGACAGTTTAACCCGCTTTTACCGACTTACATACAACTTTGCACTGTAACCCTTTCAAAGGTCATAAAAGGCACGAACTACAAAATACAGGTTTGTTGCACAATATAAACAGAATAAATCCTGCAGAGGAAAGGCTGAATTCATACAGGTGGGGGAAGCATTTCAATTTGCTCAGAAATGTTTTGTTTGAGGGCTTGATTTATGACCATATTGATGTACTTTGAACTGCAAACATTTCAGTGTATTTCTTTTAAGTTTGCTGTAAAATGCGGCAGAGGTTTGTTTGTTTTGTTTTTTTATTCCACAGGGAGAAATATTATATTTTGTTCCAGTGGACCCACACATACGACACTGATTTGAAATATGTGATATCCAGAAATTCAAAGGATCACAAAAGGAGCTTATGAAGTGCCCAGTAGGACATAAAGAATCTCCCTCATATATGAAGCCGTGATCCTTAAAATTTCACAAAAGATAATACATGTGAATTTTTTCATAGTATAATATACGTGTGTGTGGAAGCCGGATTGTACACAATGACACTGGTTCTACGAATGATTGCAGCTTCTAATGTGTTGATTATTGTGAAATTGAACACACATCATATGTGAACAGGGGACTGACCTCCTTTTTCAAGGGTTGGGGGTTAAAGTCCCATTTGGCTATGTGTGCTGCAGATGTCCTGAGCTCATACCTCACTATGAAACCACCTTATTATGAATTTTTCAGATCATGATTTAAGGAGTTTTTACCTAATGTATCCAAGTGTTTTTTACCTAATGTATCCAAGTTTTTTTATCGAATGTGTCCAAGTGTTTTTACCTAATGTATCTAAGTGTCTTCACAGCAGAGCATTTTCATGTGGGTTGACTTTTGTCTTCAACTCGATGAGAGGCCTTTAAGCAGAGTCATGCAGAAAGGCTTATGTAAAGGGCCGGTCATGAGGTTTTTAAACTACAAAGTGGCTCCGGTTGGGTAGGAGAAAGCCTCCCTTTTTAGATGACAGGGAGTTGATGGTATCTAGTATCTGTAATCCATCTGTGTGTGTGTGTTGGACCCGGTCCACCACCCCCTTATATGGTTCAGATTCAGGTGGGGCCGGAGAACAGAATCTGTGTTAAGAAAAAAAAACAAAAAGGGAACCAGTCCGGCCAGCATGGATTAAAGCATTCCTCCTCTGTTGATTAATTTGGGGTAGTAAAACTCAACCCGAACCCTCAGGTTTATTGGTGAACTGGAACTCCATAGAACTTGTCACAGTACCTTAGACCTGCAGATGTCTCAAATTTTAATCTGGAATGCCCCAAATTGGCTTTGATAGGCTTAAAGTTAGAGAAACAGTTGAAAGACAGTGTTAAAGAAGTTGTATCTGATTAAACTTAAGCCAACCGGGCTGCCCTCATAGTCAAATTCTTGTGTACTTTGTACATTTGGCCGAAAAAGCGATTTCTGACTCTTTGTGGGTAAAAAATGGATTTTAATGAGGCTGTGCTTTTGGCTTTTTCTTCGAAAAAACTTTGATTCTTACACTCAATAGTTCACAAACTTCACCGAATGTCGTGTGTGCAACTATTGTGTCTTTTATTGGTTCACTTACAGATGTTTAGATACAGGGGTTTATGGCACTGAGAAGTCAATGGCCTTTTCGTCTTCAATATTTAAGAAGGAAGAAATGAACGTTTATTAGCTCTAAGAAATTACATTACATAATTATTCAGTGAAGCACAATATTCCTATAATCAGATTATTCGGTTACATTAATCTCTCAAAGGAAAACTCAAAAATTCAACTCAGTTTATTTATAGAACACCCGAACTGTAACATATGTCATCTCCAGGCCCTTTAAATTCAAGTTAGTTGGAATCCTGTTCATTGCATCCAATCATAATCCAATCAGTTCAAATCTATAATGACATAAGGAAAGCAAAATATCTTGAATGAATGGATGATTTCATTATAAAATGGTTTGACACAGACATGTTTTCTCATCTCTCCAGAAGAGAGGCCCTGCCATTGACGAACAAGGCTTCGACAACTTGGCCTACGAGTATGGGAGCCAGAGCGAGCTCTACCCATCGCCAAAACCCGCCTCCAGAGCCTCCTTTAAACTCCTGGGACTGACCTCGGAGCACCAAGCGGTGGAAACCACACTCAGCAGCCTGAATGGAGTACTGGCTGTCATTTGGTCGGTGCCTGACAGTTTTGTCCAGGTGGACTATGACACCTCGGTTACGACAATCAGAGCCATGGCCCTGCAGCTCCAGACTCTGGGATGCGGTGTGGAGGCAGCGGTGCAGATCCGGGTGGACGGCATGCACTGCCAATCCTGTGTGCGGTCCATTCAGGGACGCATCGGAGACCTTCCGGGGGTTTCACACATTCAGGTGTCCCTGCAGGACAGCTTGGCTGCGATCGTATTTCAGCCTGTCCACGTCACACAGCAAGAGCTGAGAGACAAGATTGAGGAGATGGGCTTTGGTGCGGTCGTATCGGATGAGGATCCGCCCAGTGGAGGTTCAGAGTACTGGCAGCTGGACCAGTTGACTGTGACACCCCAGACTGTAAGCATTGGCATTGTGGGGATGACCTGCAGCTCCTGCGTGCAGTCCATAGAAGGCAGGATCTCGCAGATGAGCGGAGTGAGGTCCGTAACCGTGTCGCTGAAGGAGCAAGAGGGAACCATACAGTTTGACCCGAGCCTAACGGAGCCGGAGCAGCTGAGGGCTGCCATAGAAGACATGGGCTTTGATGCAGCCCTTCCAGGTGGGAGACACTGAACGGAGAGAGTAAAGCAATGTAACTTACGCCAGAATAAGTTTATTATAGCTTATTTTAGCAGACAGTTATTGGGTCGTATTACAAGAATCCCCTTTTGCAACAGAGAGACGAGCCAAAACATCTTCATTTGGGATCTCCACCCATAATTTTCAAAGCAAAGAGAAGGAAAGAGTAACCAGGCTTCTTATGGAACTAGCGATCAACATTTGTTTAGGAAGCAGACACCCTGTCTTTTTTTAAGATTGGGCTTAATCTTATTCTTTTCCTCCACATTTCAGGGCCCATAATGGGTATAAAGATCCACAAAAAGCAAGATCTTCCCAAACCACAGTCACCCGGCAGGGCGGGAGCCATTAACGGCACCGCGTCACAGGCGGACCCGGCAAGCTGCCATCCAGGCCCCCCCGAGAAGAGGGCGCAGAAATGCTTTATCTCTGTGACGGGCATGACCTGCGCCTCCTGCGTGGCCAACATCGAAAGAAACCTGCTCAAAAACAGGGGTGAGTTTTAAGACGGGCGGAGCCGGACTCAGCCCGGCGGGGTCTGTGTGACGGCCCCTTCTCTCTGTGGATCGCAGGGATCATCTCGGTGCTGGTGTCGCTCATGGCCGGAAAGGCGGAGGTGAAGTACGACGCGGACGTCCTGGAAACTGGCGCCGTCACCCGGCTCATAGAGGACCTGGGTTTCGGGGCCAAGTTGATGGAGGACAACGCGGTAACGCAGGGAAAATTGGACCTTAACGTAAGCGGCCGCCTCCTCCGCCGTTTAGTGAAACCTGCGGTGTGTTGAGGAACAGCCTCATTGTTGTGTCGACCCATCATGCAGATAACGGGCATGACGTGTGCCTCGTGCGTCCACAACATCGAGTCAAAGCTGACCACGACCAAGGGGATCCACAGGGCTTCTGTTGCCCTGGCAACAAGTAAGGCACAGATCCAGTTCGACCCAGAGGTGATCGGAGCGCGAGATATCATCAGGATCATTCAGGTATAACCCCCCCATTCCTTTTTTTTTTTGTATGTTTACAAATGAGATGACGACACTTCCTGTTTTCTTTACAGAGCCTTGGATTTGAGGCCAGTCTGGTGAAGGTGGGGTTCCAAAACAACCTTGATCACAAAGAAGAAATTCGACAGCAAGTATCTGTTTTAAAAACCTTTAAGCTAAATGGTGCCGATTCGAGCGAAACGTCTCTGAAGTCACCTGTGAAAACTGTAAATACAGTAAGGGATTCAATTCAGGATGCTTTGAGCCGGAAGCATTCTATATGGAATGAAAGGGAATTATATTGTCCCTCAATTCCTCCTTTGAATATATTTCCCCTTACAGCTTTGCTTTTTTTCCCCCATTTTCTAATCAACAGTGCTGATAAGGATTGAATCGTTTCCATTCCGTCTTTTTAGACCAATGTACATATGAATAACTTGTCCTTTCCATCAGACGTGCTATATGGTTATCTCTTGCCCTTTTTGCAGACTTCAGGTGTAACAGAAACATTTGTGATAATAATGAAGCTAACGACATCCAGGTTGCAATCGTGTGTTTTTATGTGCGTGTGTGTGTAACAGATTGCTAAATAAGACACCAGAATGCCCATCCTTTAATTGATTCCTGATCATGATGAAGAATTTCTCCCTATATAAGTATTCTCAAACTGGAACATGAGATGCCAGCCTCTGCAGGCGGTGACTTTGGATGCGGGCCCCTTATGTGGGGTGATTCCCAGCCAAGTGACGCAGAATAGTTAGTAGTGATTGCAGCCATTTATTTGTGACATATCCTGGCAGCGTAAATTGCTGTTCAATACAGGCATTTGCTTTTGATGCCGTTTTTATAAATGCACATGCAGCTCCGGCAGGTGACAGATGAAATTTCTTTGTCGACAATATGGCTATCGACCCACAGTTCAGCCTGTCTGTGTCTGCAGTCTCTGTCTCTGCTCACAGAGTCTTAAATGTTGAGGAGAAAATTGCCCTTGCTGACACGGAGCCCAGCTCATCTCTTTTATCCTCTCTCCTTCGCTTCCTGTCTGCATTCTGGATGTCATCTCTTCAAATCTTTAGGCCTTCTTCCAGGCATTTTGTGCACTTTCAGATAGCTGCGACAGGCCAATAGCTTTCCAGTCAGCATGTGAATGTTTGTCCAGAGCACACTTCCTACTTGTGTGTGTGTGTTTAAAAAAACAGTTTATTTAGATGCATATGAGAAGAATCAGAAAAGAAAACATCAAAGCACTAGAAGGGTTCAGTCCATCATCCCCTTGGGTTCAGGTCCGAGAAATAGCAAAATGATGACCCCCAGCTTAGGCAATGGTGTCCTACATTAGAGCAGTGGGGCTGCGCAGCGTTGGGGCAAAAATTATAATGGTTTGAAGAAAATGGGTGCTTTGGGTGTGTTTCAATTTGCCCAGGTGGAAGAATTCCTTCCTGCTCAGCCTCGTTTTTGGCCTGCCCGCCATGGGCCTCATGATTTACATGATGGTGATGGACAGCCAGCACCAAGAACACGGAGGCTCCATGCCTGAGGAGCAGAATGTCCTGCCGGGCCTCTCCCTCCTCAACCTGGCCTTCTTCCTGCTCTGCACGCCGGTGCAGGTGAGAGAGAAACCAGAGACACCTGCAGGTTTTCTTTTAATAAGGAGGAAAAACACCCCTCTGCGTCTCTGTCCTCAGGTTTTTGGTGGCAGGTACTTCTACGTCCAGGCGTATCGCTCATTGAAACACCGCACGGCCAACATGGACGTCCTGATAGTTTTGGCCACCTCCATCGCCTACATTTACTCCTGCGTGGTCCTCGTCGTCGCCATGGCAGAGCGGGCCAGCCAAAGCCCCGTCACGTTTTTCGACACGCCGCCCATGCTCTTTGTGTTCATCGCCCTTGGCCGATGGCTGGAACACATCGCCAAGGTAAAACCAAACCAGGAAGTATCGTTTCCTTTTGTTACGACAAAAGAGAATCGGGCAGCACAAGCTTTAATTCTGGTGTTTTACAGACCATCGGAGTATGTTTGGACAGCCCGAGATGTTTTGGTGAGCCAGATTTGTCATTGTGGTAAACGATTACCTAAAAAATCAGCTGACGCCGTAACACTCACATAGTGGATTAGGTTCTAGTGTCAGCTTTCTCAGAGAGGTTATAAAGAATTCACCGGTGTTCCTGGTTACTTACAACCACAATGAAACAAATCTTAGGACACTGTACAATATAAACATATTTGGAATGTAGCCATTTGCAAACTCTGCAACCTTAAATGTGGAAAATAAAATATTTTACTACGCTGTGAATTCGCTAGCAGCAACAAAGGATGGAGAAGTGGTTGAGCTTAAAAAAACAAACAGGAGAAGCATGTTGTGTTTCCTGTTGAGTGCATCACACCATCCAAAGAATTCAGAGCATGAAAATCCCAATTCTGTCATGGAAATCTGATAAAAATATCTGCAAATCATTGTGCATTACAGATTCCAAAAATTGTTTTTCTGTGTTGAGATCATATGACACTCTTATTGTGTCCCGGTAAACTCAAGTGACCTATGTATGGTGTTTTACTATCCCTTTTATGGGTTTCTTTGAAGAGGGAATAAACAAATAGGGAAAAAATTTCCAGGTGAACGAGGTTTGTGATAAAGGTTTGTTAAAAAAAGGTTATTTTTCTGATTTGCCTTCAAAGTTTTGTAGTTCTAAATATCCCTTTGGCCTTTGATTTCTTTGCTTGATAATCATATTTTAGGAATCACTTGCTGATGCTCTTTAACTTTTGGGTTCAACGTCAATTGAGTTCTCGTACAAAGTTAGAAACTGCTGAAGTCTTTTTTTTTAAATGAAACTGGACAGTTCAATTTCCAGATACCCATGTTTTTAAGAAGAGGATTTGCATATTTAGACTCTTCGCTTGTATCTGTCAGATTCTGATCAATTCAACTTTCTTATGTGGGTCTCAAAACACAAAACTACTATCCCGCATCAAAGCTCAAAGGGGATTACATGCCTGCTTTGACTTGACTTGACTGTGACTTTGATTGAATTAGTTTGTGTCCTATTTTTGTATGTTTTTTTTTTATTATTCTAGAAATGTTTGTCAAACACAAATGGCAAAGCCGCTTTACATTCTGAGCTAATGGACTACATCCACAGTTTTGTTTATTTTTGTTTTCCCCAGTCTTCTTTGCCGGATGTGTCTGGCTGCCTCTCTGAGTCAGTTTTAAATCTGTGTTTTTAGAGCAAAACCTCGGAAGCCTTGGCCAAGTTGATGTCCCTGCAAGCCACCGACGCCACCGTGGTCACTTTGGGGCCCGACCGCTCCGTCGTCAGGTGAGGCTCGCAACGCCCGGCTGCTCTGAGCCACGAGAGCTGTGGCCCGGCGTGATGCCCTGAACGCGTCCGTCTGCCTCAGCGAGGAGCAGGTGGTGGTGGAGCTGGTCCAGCGGGGCGACGTCGTGAAGGTGGGCCCCGGGGGAAAGTTTCCCGTCGACGGCAAAGTGATTGAGGGAAGCTCCATGGCAGATGAGTCCTTGATTACAGGTAAGCCATTAGGAGGAGGAGCCGTTGATATGACTTCCTCAGCTGTAATTCTTTCTCCCGGCATCTTTTAGGCGAGCCGATGCCCGTTAGTAAGAAAGTGGGCAGTCTGGTGATCGCGGGCTCCATTAACGCCCACGGGGCTCTCCTGGTGGAGGCCACTCACGTTGGTTCTGAAACCACCTTGTCTCAGATAGTGAAACTGGTGGAAGAAGCACAGACCTCAAAGGTAAGAGACGCTCTCCACTCCTTGTGTGTTTTTTGGAAAAGAGCCCCCTGCGTGACTGCGTCAGCCCTGCCTCCCCAGGCCCCCATCCAGCAGTTTGCGGACAGGCTCAGCGGGTACTTTGTTCCCTTCATCGTTCTGGTTTCGCTCCTGACACTCGTGGCCTGGTTGGCCGTAGGGTTCGTCGACTTCGACCTCGTCAAGGAGAACTTCCCGGTAGGTGTCCCCCCCCCCCTCCCCAAACGTCTTTCCGCCCGCACTTGAGAGGCACATCTGACACTTCTGCCGTCTGTCCCCGCAGGGTTACAACCAGAGCATATCCAAAAGCGAAGTCATCGTCCGCTTCGCTTTCCAGGCGTCCATCACAGTCCTGTCCATCGCCTGCCCCTGCTCCCTGGGGCTGGCGACCCCCACGGCCGTCATGGTGGGAACAGGGGTTGGAGCTCAGAATGGGATCCTCATCAAAGGAGGCGAGCCGCTGGAGATGGCCCACAAGGCATGCCCTTTTTTTTTTTCGACCAAAGGAAACAATGAAACAACGACGTCTTTGTGAGATGGCACGTCGTATTCGCACTATGCCATGCTACAACATGGCTTATCCCTTTGAATTAGCTTCTTTCTTTTTTTTTTCAAGGAAAAGAATGTCTGAAAAATGTGGGAAATGTACCACAAATTAGCCAATGTCCAAAGAAAAAACTTTGACAGAACTTAAGACAGATCTAAGGAAATGAAAGGTGGCACAAGACTTATGCTTGGTATTATCATTGGATGCTATTAATATTATTAATGTCTCATCATTCTTTTTTACATTTACATTTATGCATTTAGCAGACACTTTTATCCAAAGCGACTTACGAAAAGAAGGTTTAACATTCAACTACAACACCAGTTACACACTTACTTTACCTTGAGTGCAATATGCTAGAAGAGGATTTAACATAAAGGATTTAACATTCAATTATGACATAGATTACACAAGTACCATACATTGAGTGCTAATGCGATTAGGAAATAATTGCATTTAGAGTTTTCAGGTCAAGAGATACTCTCAGAAGAGCTTGGTCTTCAAAGAATTTTTTTGGGGAGGAAAGATAATCTGATGCCCTGATAGTGCTTGTAAGGTTATTCCACCAGCGTGGAACCGCAGATGACTTAAGTTGTAAGCAAATGAACACATTTGGATCCAGAAGAATATGTGACACCAAGCTGTCAACCATAACTTGGATCACTGTGCGTGCTTTTGTTTCCCGCCTGTATTAGATCGGTGTGGTGATGTTCGACAAGACGGGCACCATCACAAACGGCGTGCCGCGGGTGACTCGTGTCCTGGTGCTGTGGGAAATGGCCCGCATGCCCCTGAGGAAGATCCTGGCGCTCGTCGGCACGGCGGAGGCCAGCAGCGAGCACCCACTGGGCCTCGCAGTGGCCAAGCACTGCAAAGACGTGAGGCCCGTTTGTGCTCCATTTGTACCGTTTTTTTGTGTTTTAGTTTTTTTTTTTTCGATCTGTAAATGCTTTGGCCATCCGAACGTCTGAATAAGGCGAGCGTGCGTTCAACAGGAGCTTTGCTCTGACGTCCTGGGATACTGCCAGGACTTCCAGGCGGTGCCCGGCTGTGGGATCAGCTGCCGGGTGTCCAGCGTGGAACATCTGCTGCAGCAGGAGGGCGACCAGTGCTTCCCGCTGCCCGGAGCCACCACTGACGAAAGCTCGCTTCCTCCTGCCGAGGAACCCTGCCCACCAGGTGTGTCTTGGCTGTTGATGCTGAAGAAAATGGCCGCTTTAATGTTTACAAGGGTTTTTTTTTTTTTATGTTTTTGTTTTGTAAGAAAACCCCAACCAATTTGTAAGGAGAGAAAAGCTAGTAGTTAGTAGCTAGTAGTAGCTAGTAGAATAGATCCATGAGGCCGTGAACCCCTTTTGCACTCATCTGTGGGTGATCCGACGTCAAATGAGCCCACGCACACGTTCCAAACTGCACGTTTTACTCACACTTTTAACACCAGGCTCACAAAGTTGATGACTTCTTTGCCTAAAAAGGCACCAGTGGATACACTGTCACATTGTCACGTTTTCAAGTGCAATTGCAGTAAAACGGCAGTGAGGTAATCTGGGATTTGATTGAAAACCAGCTTTCCTCATGCCCCTAAATGCACCACATTTAGATAATGGTGGAGCCTTTTTGAGCAAGGTCAAATCTGTGTAAAATATTCATGTTTGCGCATGTGTGTGCAGTTCGAAGTCGCCCCAAGTTAATGTGCACGCTGAAATACTTTGAGCGGATTTTCCCAGCAAACTGAGTCACAAATTTATTTGCCCCTAACCTTTTATGATCATCGCCCTTTTAAACCAAAAGCAACGTGTTTCTGTGCTGGAAGTAAGTGTTCTCTATTCCTCCAGCTGTGGCCAAGTCTTACTCGGTCTTGATCGGGAACCGAGAGTGGATGAGGAGGAACGGCCACCACATCAAAGCGGACGTGGACGCCGCCATGTCCAGCCACGAAACCAAAGGCCAGACGGCCATTCTGGTGGCCATAGACGGTCAGGACCCGGCGGCTCTGGGGCTCTGCCTCTGTCGGCGCCCGACTCTGACCCTGCCGTACGTCCTTTTCGCAGGTGTTCTGTGCGCCATGATCGCCATCGCCGACACGGTGAAGGCGGAGTCGGCCTTAGCCGTGCACACGCTCAACAGCATGGGCATCGAGGTGGTCATGATAACGGGAGACAACAGGCGCACGGCCAAAGCCATAGCGGCGCAGGTGAGAGGTTTGTGAGGGGGGGCAGCGAAGGGGGGGGAGAGGCTTCCGACATCCGATCGCGAGGCTGCGTCTGGCTGCAGGTGGGCATCAGGAAGGTGTTCGCAGAGGTGCTGCCGTCGCACAAGGTGGCCAAAGTGCAGGAGCTGCAGGCCAGAGGCCTGCGGGTGGCCATGGTGGGGGACGGGGTCAACGACTCGCCCGCGCTCGCCTCCGCCGACGTGGGCATCGCCATCGGCACCGGCACCGACGTGGCCATCGAGGCGGCCGACATCGTCCTGATCCGGGTAGGTGGTCAACGGAAGTCCGGGGGCAGCGACTTTGAGACGTCTGACCCCCGGGTGGGTTTTTTTCCCCCCCGCGCCTTCAGAATGACCTGCTGGACGTGGTGGCCAGCGTGGAGCTGTCCAAGAAGACGGTGCGCAGAATAAGGATCAACTTCGTCTTCGC